AAACAAAAAACAGTAGCCAGTGGTTGGACATTCCAAATTCGTTTTAGTAGAGACCAGTCTCTCGATAGAAGATGGAACCTGGTTGATGGTGGTACTGTTGACGGTAGTGATGGCGTTGGTGGTTGTGGAGATGCTCCTGGCAGAGCTGGTGGTGATGGCTGTGATGGCCGCAGTCGCGGTGGCGATAAAGGCAATCGTGGGGCATTCTGCTGGTGGTTTTTTTTCTGCTTGTGGTGGCGCTGGTGTGGGAAGCATCAATGATGGGGGGCTTGCGGTTCACGGTGGTGATGGCAATCCCGATATTTTATTGTTATATTTTGATACTGGCAAGAAATGTCCCATATGAACCTGATGGCGGGACCCCAGGGTCCCGAATAAACGGAAGTCAAAATCGCAATTAATGAATACATTTTTGGCGACTCCGTCCCACCGCGCACATAAACGCCGCAGATCATTCTGTTGTCACGTCGTGTCCAAGCGTAGCAAGGACGAATGCGCACAAGAGCTGAACAAGTGAATGCATTCCATGCTCGGGTATGGGCAGAATCATAAGTCTTGCCCAAAGCTGCTCAAACTGCCTACACGACTTAAGTCCTTTATTTGCCATAACGGTTTGCATAATACAGTGCAACTGCTCTCTTATCTTCATTATTATTTGTGAGCTACCAATGTCTGCAGCCAGGATCAATCGATGACAATCCTATTACCTGCAGATATTTAACAAATGAGATGCATTGCACCGTTAATTCCTCCTGTTTGATAATACTTCTCTTGTTCGTATGCATCTGTGCAGATAGGTTATTTTTTGCGGTTAAACCATAGTCCCCACATACCGCTCGTATCAATGCGGATAAGAGGAGCCGCGACCCACTACTCTGTAGAGTAACATTGGAATAAACGCTTGTTACAATATGAACAGCGCATTGAAAACGCGTACTATTTTGTGTACCGTTTACAAAGTGTGTTCACAAATCCACACTGAGAAACACGATGATAGACAGAGGGGTATAAATATTTTTTTCGACAATGTATTTAAATAGAGGTACTGCAGGTAAGTAGTTTTCAGTTTTAAAGGCATTAACAAGACAACACTTGCCACCATCCTTCAAACCCATTGGTGAAAAAGAGCAAAGTTTATGGTTACAAATCTTGACTTAAAGCTTTCGTGACTGTAGGAATTCATATTCTTTGGGTCTTTCGGTAAAGTCAAGTAGATATGTACAAATTTATATAAAAAATAATAAATATAAAATGAACAAAAAACTACGACGTTTCGATCACAACACAAGCGATCGTCATGCAGACTGTTTTTACAGGGTGTAGTCCTAGGGCAGGGGTGGGCAAATTTTTTGACTCGCGGGCCACAATGGGTTCTAAAATTTGACAGAGGGGCCGGGCCAGGAACAGATGGATGGAGTGTTTGTGTGAACTAATATAAATGACATGTAAAAATCATTACATGAAAGGATTTGGCCTTTAACAGGTAACAAAGCATTTATTTGCAAGGCAATTTAGCAAATTGCACGAACATGAACAGTACAAAAACATGTCGTAACTCCCGGTCAAAGTGCGCCATCTAATGGAGAAATGGAGGCATTACAGGAGAAAGGTAAAATTTTATTTAATAATAATAATATTTGGACAAGTTCAGCGGGCCGGACTAAAAAGCCCAACGGGCCGTATACGGCCGGGGCCGTACTTTGCCCATGTCTGTCCTAGGGTGATAAACGAAGTGGGCGGGGCTAGTTATGTTAATGTGAGAGATTAGTGTGTTAATGTAAGATCGGAGAGCCACCGCGACGTAGAGGTCGGCGTCTGGAGGTGGCCACGTTGGCGTGAGAAATTCAACCTGTTAATGTGAAATCGGAGAGCCAAAGCCACATTATTATATATTGTTTATGCGAGAGCCGGGGACTTATGGGACCCCGGGGTCCCGCCATAAGGTTCATATGGCAATGCCGATGTTTGACGTTCCCAGTAAATATTTAAAACGAGAGTTTTTTTGTAAATGTTTAGCAGAACTGGTGTCTGTATGAAGCGTCAAGGCACCTTTAAAATATCACAACAGCAAAACATTGTGTACAGTGTGTGTATGTATTATCTAAACGATTATTGGGTAAGCAAAGATCTCACCAACAAGATGATTTTCCAACCGTGCTAATTTAATCTCCGGACAAGTTGAGCGAGCTGCTCTGGAAGTCTCAACGATGCACACTAGGGGCTCTCAGAACGTCTCGAGATAAAACTACTACGGTTGGAGATTCATCTTCTTGCTGAGATCTTTCATTAACCTATGACTGTTTAGATATTCAGTCTGAATCCCAACCGGCACAATGAATGTTTATAGTGTCTGCGTTGGTGGTAGCTATGAGATCACACTGAAACCCATAGTCACGCGTGTCCCCGTTTACCTCCCATGCACTGATATCTGTTGGAGGCTCTGAACCAGGAATGGAAATTCCACATTCCTATGGCAAGGACCATGGGACAACCACTGCTAAATTCCCACGAAATGCTACACCTTTGCTTTAATCAACTTCCATGGAATAATTGGTTTAGTAGACGCCCCAACCCGGATTGGAATTCGCAACCTTTCTAATTACCAAATACATTTAGCAACAACCTCCGATTAGCACGGTTAGCTACGTACGGTGCGAAAGAAGTTCCACATACATACTGCACAGCCATCAGTTGTCTTATATGTCTACCAGTTGCCATATATGTATATAAATTGCCGCTAATTGAATACTGCCCCAAGTACTAATTTAGGGCAGAATCGGCTCACGGGAGGATGAGACGAGTCTCAGATTGTGGTTCCAGTTTTCCCCCTATTTTGCTGAACTGAATGTCATTTATTTGAGTAAAAAAAAGGAAGGTCAATTCAGTGGATGAAAAATTTAAACTACACGTCATTTAAAACATCACAAACTCAAGACCGCGGGCTAAATAACGCATGCGGCGTTTTCAATAATTGATGTATGAACAACGTTTTCAATAATTGATGTATGAACAGGTGAGAGCCAGGATTACCCAGGATAAAACAATGCCCGAATGAAACAATACCAAGTAAAACACAGCACATGGCTTTCAACAACTACCGTAGTAGCCTCTTTAACATTTTATATATTTAGAGAACACCGAGTGAAAAATAAGGAGTTATTATCAATAATGTATTCCTAAAACTCGGTGATGGAACAGAACCCACGTGATCAAAAACAAATCTCCCTGCTATAACCACTGTGCCACCTATCCCTTGACACACAAAGATAAAGATCTCCCTGTGTAGACATACAGGCTCTTGTGGCAAGTGCTTGTTATTGAGCACTCGTTAAGACTTGCATATAGCATAACGGGAGTGTTGGTGTGAACCCTGGGTTTGATCTTCCACGAAACTCATGGTCCACCCGAAACAGCATCTGCACAAACCGTGGCTGCAGATGCGGATACCTGATGGACAAATGGAAATTTTTAAAAAAACTTTCCAGTTTGCGACTGTGATCGTTCAGAACAGACCGTACAACGCAATTCCCGATCCACAAATACGGAGATGTCGCAGCGATACACTCCGCTACTTCTGATGCCGTTGTCTGGCTTGACCACCTGATTGCTCTGCATCTACATCAGCCGTACGAGAGAAGAGGAGGTGTGACCAGGACCACACCCGGGCCACCAAATGTCTCCCCAAGTGCCAACGTCTGTACACCTCGCACCAAGGCTGAGTCGACCGAGCGGAGGACCAACACAGGTTGCGATAAAAACTCCCCAACTGCCAACAGCCACCGTGACCTGGAATCGAACTCAAGCGACGCCCCGTGCGTTAAAACACACGCGCGCACACACACACACACACCCCCGCCTTCTCGCGACACCAACGTAAACACTCTCCTCCTTGAGCGTCGCTCGCTAGGCTCGCTGCCCTAATAAGGGAAGGTCGCGTCTGGAGAAACTGGGGCGTGCGAAGGATGGGTGTGGGGTGGGGAGCGGGCAAGGGAGGGGTGTCTTTCGGACTGAATTCCTTTCCGATTTTGGGGCTGCTGTTCGGCAAGAATGCGCGTCACGTCTCAGCGTCGTCGTCGTCAGCGCCAGAAACTCCCGCTTTCCTCACACCCACTCTGTGCTCCTAACCTGACCATACCTATTTGGCATTCAGCAGCTTGACCCCACCCACCCCCTCCCGTTAACGGTTCGATTAAGTGTCACGATGTTCCGATTGCAATGCGATTTTTAACAACAACAACAACAACAAAAACAAAAATCCGTTATATGGTTTGATTACCGTGGTCACGTAACAAAACATCGAAGTGGCGGTGGGTTTATATGAGCTTAGCACGCGCAATATGTACGCCTCGAAAATCCAGTAATCGGTTCTAATGCGCATGATTTATTGCACGCATCATGAGCGTAGATACATGCCTACCTGGCTCTCAGATTGTTGCCTTCATTGCTGATACTCGAGACCATTCTGTCAATCTATATACAGTGAGGGAAAAAAGTATTTGATCCCCTGCTGATTTTGTACGTTTGCCCACTGACAAAGAAATTATAAGTGTATAATTTTAATGGTCGGTTTATATGAACAGTGAGAGACAGAATAACAACAAAAAAATCCAGAAAAACGCATGTCAAAAATGTTATAAATTGATTTGCATTTTAATGAGGGAAATAAGTATTTGACCCCCTCTCAATCAGAAAGATTTCTGGCTCCCAGGTGTATTTTATACAGGTAACGAGCTGAGATTAGGAGCACACTCTTAAAAATGCAAATCAATTTATAACATTTTTGACATGCGTTTTTCTGGATTTTTTTGTTGTTATTCTGTCTCTCACTGTTCAAATAAACCTACTATTAAAATTATAGACTGATCATTTCTTTGTCAGTGGGAAAACGTACAAATCAGCAGGGGATCAAATAATTTTTTTCACTCACTGTACCTCGAGACCGGTTTGTTCAGTGTCTAGAGACACCATAAAAGACTGGTCTGGAATTGTCGAGTGACCGCATCAGACATTGCTCTGTTCGTCATTGCTTAGTGCACCGTTTCCCATCCTCTCTGGACTTGCGGATCACTCACCGTCAACCCTCAAATATTTCCACGGATCATCATGCAACCCAATTAATGTATTTTCTCAATTAAAACTACAGTCCTCTGAATCGTAGTTACCCGCATAAATTCCGCGGACCTTTCCCCATGGACTTGGGGACCCACGCGGTCCACGGGTTCGGAGCCACAGATCTGAAGACCACGTCAGAGAACAGACTCTTTACTCTCCAAGAGACACCTTCAGAAACTGGTCTGCATGTCTACTCATACCCAAGAGAACTGTTAGTGGGTTGTCTCTTTGATTGTTGTGTATGTCTGTAAGTATGTACCCATGCATCTCTGTCGCATGTGTATAGTGGTTCGCGCGCTGCATTATCCAAGTTCGATTCCCGCTCACGGCCAACACCAGTGACGATTATTTGAACCCGTCATGGGACTCCACCTAGGTCGACTCATCCTTAAACGAGTGACTGGTGAGGTGTGTTGTAAACATCGCCACTGGGGAGACAAAGGCGGCCGGGCGTGGTGGTGACCACCCACCCCCTCGTGTGCCGTGCCAGCCTTCACAGGTGCTCACTAACAGCACTTGTCCTAACAGTCTGTAAAATTCCATATGGGGATGTTTATCTTTGTATATGTGTACATATGTATATATGCGTGTATTTACGTATTATGCCTGTGTATTTACTGTATCGGGTGTCCCATAAGTCTGGAATCATAGGAAAAAATAATACAATAAAGACAACAATAACGGCTTTACTCACATAACGTGCTCAATGTGTCCACCATTGTTCCTGATCCACAACTCCAGACGAGATACCCAGTCAGCAAGCACACGGTAAATGGTATCAGGGGTATCGGTGTCACGTCCGTCAATAATGCGCTGCTGCAAATGTTTAACACTGAATTTTCTCTGCGTTGACCCAGCGCCTTCAGGTGACCCCAGAGATATAAAAATCTAGGGGTGTGAGATCAGAGCTTCTCGCTGGCTATTACACAGGCCCTCGACGCCCGATCCCATGACTAGGGAATTATGAATGAGCTATTTTTCCCTATGATTCCAGACTTATGGGACACCCTGTATGTGTTGTGTCTATGCCTGTGTATGTATGTCTGTCTGTATGCCTCTCTGTGATATATTTAGTTTATTCCTTTTGTTTTTAGACCATTTATCGATTTGTTTCATTCATTTTAATTTTCTGACGGCAACATTTACTTAACATTTGCTATCAATTATGCATCTAATTATTATTTGTGCAGCGTTGTGAGCTGCAATTGGCGTGAATGACGCAATATAAGACTGACATCGTTACCGTATTACGTGTTTTACATGCATGTATATGCATCCACGTCTGAACTCTGCATGTGTGCGTGGGATCTATGAAGATTGTGTTGACCTTTTATAGGTGCTCGCTAGCAGCGTATGCCCCTTAACAGCCTGTTAAGGCTATAATGGGGGATATTTGTCTTTGTGTAAACATCAGCACTGCGGAGGCCGTGTGCCAGCCCTTAACAGGTGCTCGCAAACAGCACTTGCCCCATACAGTCTGTCACAGGCGGTACCAGCCAATGGGCACCTTCGTCTTCCGAACCAGAATCAGCATCTTTATTTAGACTTGGAAAAAATCCGATGAGCCGTGAAGCTCTTTTTTTTCACGTTTGTCCAGGAGGGGCGGCTCAGCAACTTTTGTACTTGCTCGCTAACCAACAGAGTTGCAGGCGTGCCAGGGAGAGATATGTTGTCTTCGTGAAGATGATCACGATGAGATCATCGCTTCTGGCATGCGACCATCGTTGCATCACGAGTGTAGGTGTGTCTGCGCGTCTGCATGTCACATTTGTGTACGCGCGTGTGCGTGCGCGTGTGTATGCATGGGGATGAGATAATCTCGTTTGGAGGATTGTTGCACTTAGAGTGTGTGTATGTATGTAAGTGTGAGTGTGTGTATATATCCACGTGTCAGTGTGTGTGTATATCCTCGTAGGTCATTGTGTATATATCAGTGTGTATGTGTGTGCCATTGTGGTGTGTCTGTGTGTGTGTGTCTTGGGCTTTTGGTCACTACGTGGGTGCCACTGTATGTCACTGTGTGTTTGTCTTTGTGTGGGGAGCGGTGGCGCAGTGGTTAGCGCAGCGCGTTATGAACCCTGTAGACACCCGAGTTTGATTCCCGTTCACGGCCAGAACCAGTCCTCCTTAGGTCAACTCAGCCGTGCGTAAACATCGTTACTCGGGAGACAAAGACGGCCGGGCGTGGTGCTGGCCACCCGCCCCTCTCTCATAGGCGCTCGCAAACAACACTTGCCCCAATTGCCTATTGAAGGCTATTACGGGAAGAGGGAGAGGGGGGGGATCGTTGTCTTTATCACTGCACGGCAGTGCTTTGTCAGTCCGCGTGCGCTGTTGGAAGTCCCTCCCCTGCCTTTACGCGACGCTCATTCCGGTACCACCGCTCCATCCTCCCCCTCCTCCTCCTCCCGCTCCTCCTCATCCTCCCCCGATATAAACCGACTCCCCGAGGCGTCCAGACCGACCACTCGCCACCACCCCTCCCGACACGGGCAGCAGACGACTCCAGTGGTTCGGCATCGTCTCCCACCCCCCCACTTCTCGTGTCACAGACAGGGGACACACGTCCTCGTCACCCCTCGGCAGTCAGGTAAGTGTTGCTTGCTGTGCCCTGGTGTGCGACATCGCCCGGCACAACACTTGCCATCGGAGGAGTGTAACGACGCCGCCGCGCCGCCGCCGTCCTCAATATTAATGTCACATCTGACGTTTTTGAAGCTATTAACGTTACATTTGTTAACACGTTGCAGTGTGTTATCCGTTCTTTTAGCATTTAAAAGCGATAGTGATGAGCGTTAACATTTTTTAATCACCCTGTGCATGCGCACTGTACACACACACACGCGCGTTGTGCAAGGCAATGTCCAAATCCCGCGTCGCTGTGGCGAAGAGGAGACTTTGAATTCACACACACACACAAAAATAAGCTACGGAAATTGTCGGCTTCGTGCATTCAGTCAACTCGCCCGTGTTCTGTTTGTTGTCCACCCCCCCTCCCAGCACATCTACGTGCGCGGTGCGATAGAAGTTCAACATACAATGCGTGTGTTGTTTTTATACGCCCCATTCACCACACACACACGCACGCGTGCACGCGAAACAACACAACAACGACGTCAAACCGTGCTCGCTCAACACGGAGCAAATATAAAGATCAGCCGTATAGTCTCGACCCACTTTTGGGGCAGGTGCTGTTTGAAAGGCCGGCACGGCACACTCGCGGATAACAACCAAAACTTTAGACGCACAATCTACAAGTACCACGCAAACACACACACACAGCAACCGTGCAGAATCTCACCACGAATTAACACACCCATAATATACAACACACAGACACTAAAACCAACTCTGGACGTAATAGAGGGGTTTATTTTGGGTTAGATCGCGTAAATATCTAAATGTGTCGTTAAACCCGCCACCACCCGACACAGCCGACTAGTAAGGGTTGTCACGTCAACAGAACGTGGCCAATTCGTCACCAGTACAGCACACCGGTGTGTTGGAGAGCCAAGCCACAACATTTACAGAGTACGACGTTTCGCCAGTAATTACAACTAACTTCATCAGGCGACAGCCAGATTTGGACACGAAACAACCACGAACACACGTTCACACACACACCAAACAATCCATCACACATATAGGCACACATCTTCCACACACACACACGCGTCCACCCACAGTGTAATTGACGATCGTGTTGGGTTCGTTTGACATTCAATGGAATGCTTTTTTTCCGAGACAAACCATCCCACACCACGACCTTTGTCTCAATGCGTGTCTACAAGTTAAGCTGGATCTGTCTTTTTTAAATGCGTAAATATATCAATCATTATCTCTTTTTTTACAGTTGAAAGAGACAATTGATGTTGGGCTTAGGAATAGACGCTCATTGTAAACGTATTTACAATAGGGCCGTTGGCGTGGTGGCATTGTGGCTGCGATGCATGTCCGTCGTCTGGGGACACAGAGTTAGAGTTGGTGGGCCGCAGAGAGACGGGTACCCATTGCGGGATGTTGTGTAGCAAACCTCCGACCTGTTGGGCTGTGAGTAAGTGCGCGCAGAAGGATGCACAGCAAGTAGGTTTCATGCGGGCCCACTGTGAGGCGTAAATCGTGAGTGGTTTTTTTTCTTTCTCGAAAAGACAGTTTCCTGAAGGCTGCACAAATACTTAATAAGGTAATGGTCTCAGATCCAAAACAGGAACTTCCTGAAAAACAGTTTTAAGTTGTTAATTTTTTTGAAAGAACAAGTGCTCATGAATGAATATAATAGATTTTTGGAGTGTGATTAATAATAATTAATATTTCAACTTGTAACTTGAAGATAAAGACTCAGCCTCAAATGAGGACCTGGTGCAGTGTGTAAATATCGCTACTGGGGAGACAAAGGCGGCCGGGGGCGTGGTGTTGGTCACCAACCCAACCTCGTGTGTCATTCCGGCATTAATATGTGCTCGCTAACAGCACTTGCCCCAACAGTCTGTTGAGGCTATCGGGGGGATATTTGTCTTATTTCATCTAGTGGTTAAACACATGGGTACAAACGACGTTGAGTCACAGAAGAAGTTAGGAAAATTTTAATGGAAAAATACATCACAAGCTTCTTTTTGTAAGGAATGGTTGACAGAGTTGACTCAGTCTCTCTGGAGTCTCGTAATAGCTATGTCGGAACAGTGAGCCAACATTTGAGATCTGGCTTTATACCTTGGGCTCCAGCCACAAGTTATGTAGCAAATTTATGATTTTAGCCCAGTGACCAATGACCACACCATACATGTGAAAACCATATATAAGAAATTAATTTTCTACCTCCACATGTAAGTAAAATAAATATTTAGTCCATCAGCCTCTAGGCTTTCCAGAGCAATGTTATCCAGCGGCATTTATTTAAGCAAGCAAACTCTGGACCGGTTTTGACGTTCTAGATCTCATCAGCAGGCATGCGTGTTAAACAAATGCTGCCAGTTATTATTGGCAAGAGCACGTCATATAAACGACAGGACCCCGTTCAACACAAAAGCAACATCGTACACAAACTCATTATGAATTGTTGTGCAGCCTGATAACTAAATTGCACTTTAGTTCAACACATTCCAGCTCTGAGGACTACATATTTTTGGTTTGACATGCGACACCTCCGATTTAGCACGTTTGGCAATGTACAGCGCGAAAGAAGATTCAACATACATGTATATGATATAGCAACTGTTACATGGCATGAAGAAACGTCCTCGTGTTGTGTAAGAGACCGATGAAAGTGCACTTAGAAGAAGTACAGTACAGTACTTAACGTCGTGATGTAATTTCCCGAGGACCCCTTCTGGCGAAATGTCAATTTATCGACAAACTTTATTGATAACCAATGACAACGGATCAGTGCAGGGCTTGGTCAGACATAATCCATAACGAGGTGCAGCACCACCCGAAGACCCATCATTGGACAGCCAAACACCTCGGGTTGCCACCTGCCACATTCGACCCGGACATCGCGGGAATTGGCGTCTGTGTTCGGGCGTCAGGAATTGATTTGTGCCAGCGATCCGCTGCTCGTGTTCAACTTTATTGCCAAGATTTTGATAACTACACCTTGACGGATTGAGAATGACGTGTGGGCCTGGTCCGTTGCAACATTGGCAAATCCAGCCATGACACGCAACCGCAAAATTCCACACCGTGGACATTGTTTTAATACCGTAGTTAAAACTGTTTTCTGTTGCACAGAGTTGTCGAAAACGACGAGGTTTCAACTTCCAATCGAAGATGAAACCCAGAGTGGTTGTGATGTTGCAGCATTCACGTCAATGTTTCAATACAAACCTTGTCTTGACGAATATTCGGCACAAATAACGATGAGGCGTTAAACCGCTCGGCGAGTGACAGTTCCGGATGGTAAGCACCTCATCACGTGGCCTGGCACCGATAGCTGGCTACGAAATTTGTGTCTGTGGCAGTCGGAAGAAAAGCGGAACCCTTGCCAATAATTTAAGACTTTGTCTTCCTGTGAACTAAATCCCATGAAAATGGGCGGAAGACTCCTTCAGCCACATCACCATGTCTAGACACCCATGTCTCAACAGCTCGATGGAATTGGGAGGAGATTCTGAGGCAGCCGAAATAAGTTGTGACTCCTTCCAAAACCTCTGGCCACGCTACCTATGCATGCACGAATGTACAGCCATGCTTCAATCGACTGCTGGACAAAGGCCTCCCCACACAGTGTCGGTCGCAGGCATCGTTTACCTTCTGCTTAACCCTGCTGGTCAGTGTGGGTCAGTAAAGTGGGTGGTCTGTAAGGTCGCACTCGTTACACACACGAAGTGTTTGCCACAAATGAACCACAATACCTTGCTTATCTCATCAAGGAGCATAAACCATCACACTAACTCCGGCCATAAATGAGCACCTGGTGTGGTGTACGCCCATTTCTTTAAAACTGCTTTTTGCATTTAGTGTGTTGTTCTTTCCCCCGCACCTCCGATGGGCGCGGTTGGCTACATACGGTGCGAAAGAAGTTCAACATACATGTAGAACGTATGTAGGAAGCAATAGGTGAGCGAGTGTGATGTCAACCACTCGAATGCCTCGCGTGCTCTTGAGTCAAGAAAGCGATAACAGGCGCTGGACAGTTTTGCTTATCCATTGTGGGAGCAGCCCTGAGTTAGTTGTGAAAACTACACCTTCCTATGGCAGTGCCCAGTCTGTCGAAAAGTGAGACAAACTCCCCCCAAAAAAGGATTTTAATTCACAGCCTTAATTCCCCAAATAGTGGGTCGAGCTTGCTGGCCTGAATATGCGATCACTTACATTAGAATCAGCATCTTCATTTAGACTGGATGAATCTGATGGGCTATGAAGCTCTGTTCACAGATGTCCAGTAGGGGCCGGCCAGAAAGTTACAACAACAAATACAAAAAAAACCCGATAGAAATGCAAAAGAGAAAAAAATGTAGTTACTAAATACAGGGTGTTTAAAAAAGATGGACCCAATTTCAAAGCAGTATATTTCACCATGGCAACATGTTACAATTACACACAAAGTTACAAACGGTTTAATGAGTTATCAAGTTTTACTAACCATTTTGTAAACGCTCTACGTGCCCTCCACCTGCTGTACGGACAACATCGAGACGATAGTTGAACTCGTCCCAAACGCCTCTCAAAGTCTCTTCTTCCACTGAAGTCACCGCTGCCATGATTCTGTTTTTGAGGTCATCCAGATTCTTCGCGAATGGTGGCACAAAACACCACGGTCTTTTGTGCCACCATGCTCTTTGACATTGGCGGATCAATGCCAAAACGCCGTTGAAACGCACGCTGCACCGCAATTACGGATTCAGTCTTGCTGAACTGCAGAACGCAAAACGCCCCTTGTGTGTTTGCGGGGTCACCGTCTTGCGAATGACTGAGGCTAGGGGCTGTTTGTGCGCTGGGAGAGGCATCTCACGGTAATCATTTGAAACTCTATGCCCCGCCCTCTTTATGCCCCGCCCTCTTTATGCCCCGCCCTCTTTATGCCCCGCCTTTTCAAGTGGTAAGAGTTCCATTCATGGGCGGTTCGTGGTTGCAGAGATATAGCGATTTCAAATCGGGTCCATTTTTTAAACACCCTGTATAAATAAAGGGTACAGTATAAGTACAACTTGCATAAGTACATACATTCCTGACGATTTTTGAACACGAAATGCATGCTTGGGTAAGGCAGAAAAACAACAACTAAAACAAACAGTCCCAGACCACACCATGATAACACACAGTCCCCATGAAAACACCCATCGGCTGAACGGAGGATCTCTGTCTCTGTGTGTGTGCGCGTGTGCGGTAATGCAGTGGTTAGCGTGTTGTGCTACGAACCCATTGTACCGAGTTCGATTCCCGCTCACAGCCAATACCAGTGACGAATATCTGGACCGGTCCTGGGCCTCCCCTAGGTAGACTCGGCCTCAAATGAGGACCTGGTGCAGTGTGTAAACATCGCCACTAGAGAGACAAAGGCGTCCGGGCGTGGTGCTAGCCACCCACCCCCTCGTGTGCTGTGCTGGTCTTCATAGGTGCTGCTCACCCACAGCACTTGCCCCAACAGTCTGTTAAGGCTATATGGGGGATCTTTGTCTTTGCGTAGAGTCCCAGGTGTCCGCAATGTCGCAGTGGGGTGGTGGCGCTGCGTGTGGCGTGTGCAACCAGCGCGTGTACCACGCGGAGGAGGTGCAGTGCGCGGGGGGCAGCTTCCACAAGTCCTGCTTTCTGTGCCGTAAGTAACGATCATTCACGCGCGCTCGGTCAAAACCACCATCATCATCTTTACCACCACCATTACTTTCATAATCACAACTGCTGCCAATATCGTCATCACCGCCAGCATCGCTATCATCTTCTTCGCCGCCGCCATCATCATCGTCATCACCAGAAACATCACCGTCATAATTACCACTGCCACCACCATCATAATTACCACTGTCATCACCACCACCATCGTTATTATTTCCAGTACTGCTATCATCATCACAACCACAGCTGCCACAACCATCATCATCATTGGCACCACCATCACTATCATCATAACCACCACCATCACCATTTACGTGGTGTAGCTGTGTAGCTTTTGGAAACAGTGCAAAGATGGCACGGTCATGTTAGTGCTCACCTGATCACAGCTTTTCACACAGTTGGATGTCATCACCATCCTACTCACAGTCCATGGGATTTGGGTCACGTACTCCTTTGTTATCTGGCATGTGTATGTATGTATGTTGAACTTCTTTCTCACCGTACGCAGCCAACCGTGATAATCAGAGGTGCGGCATAGGCAAAGGATGGGTAGAGAGAGAGAGAGAGAGGGGTTGAACATTAAATCGAGGTGGTTAAATTCACTCATCCGGCTTGGAGTGCCAATTGCAGAGGATTGTGATGCGCAACATGAGCTACTCCCCCCCCCCCCCTCCCACCGACCTCCCCCATCCCCATCACGCAGAGGTTTGCCGCAAGAACCTGGACAGCACGACGGTGGCGTCGCATGGCTCGGAGATCTTCTGCAAGTCCTGCTATGCCAAGAAGCATGGCCCCAAAGGCTACGGCTACGGGCAGGGCGCGGGGACGCTCAGCATGGACTCGGGCGAGCACCTCGGCATCAAGCCCGACGAGTGAGCGATGCACGCACGGAAGACAAAGATCCCCCGAAATAGCCTCAACAGACTGTTCGGGCAAGTGCTGTTAGCGAGCACCCATGATGGCACGTAGCGTGCCACCCGCGTGATGCGCCGCGAGCTGGGGCAGCCAGTGGAGATGAGCAGAACCCGGTGCTCATGTGAGCGTGAAAACGCTGGGATGGCATTCGCCATTTAGGGATGATTATGCATCCATTTGGCGCAATGGTTTGGACCGAAACGTGAAACGTAAAACGAATACACCGCCTTTTAACATGGGTTGCGATGGGCCATATTTTGAGAAACCATTTAAGCAGATTTTGCAAGGTTTTGTCAAATCGGTGGCTCTAAACCGGCTAAATCCCAATTCGTGTCGGCCAAAAAAGTGGCGGTGTTTTGAGGAGTTTTGATTACGCAGCGGTTGTTTGGCCCCTCTCCCCTGGCGGATCACCGCTAACCGGCGCGGTTCAATCCCCTCGCTCCTCGCAGCTCGGCGCGGCCCGGCGGCTGGGGAGGCGGCGGTGGGGAGTCCGGAGCCTCCAAGGCGGCGGGGAAGTTCGGTGGAGCCGAGAAGTGCTCGCGCTGCGACAAGTCCGTGTACGCGGCCGAGCGCGTCATCGGGGGCGGGAAGGTTCGTGTCTTTTTCCTTGCGCCGCTCGATGACGTTGCGTACGCTCGATGGCACCGCGTACATTTTGTCCACGGGAGGAAGCTGTGCGAAGCGGTGGCTCGCTGTGCTCTCGGGAGGGCTCGTGACGCCCCCCCCGCCCACTCCCCCTTCATGTGAGAGACACCGAGCCGACGTCGCCGAGACGCCGCGGTTTAAAACGTGGGCTCCGACCGCCCCCGTGATTCAACTGGGTTCTCAAGTGCAGAAGTGCGGTGACGATCTCGGCCCTTCTCACCAATGGACTGGACACGCACACACATGCAAATAATGCATTTTTATTCATCGCTTATTTTGGCTTAGTTTATCTCCGAGGACAGCACTTTTTTTTCCTGCAAAGATTTTTTGTTTTATCATACAAGCGTTGCACGTCGAATCTTCCTTGCTAAATGATGTATGTTTGTATGTTGAACTTCTTTCGCACCATACGTAGCGAACCGTGGTAATCAGAGGTGCTGGGAAGGACAACAAACTTTCCACAAAAAGCACAAAAGCTCTTCAAAAAAATATATAAACTTGTCCCAGTGGGCTCTCACCCTGATGTGAACAAATAAACATAGGGAGGACACTGCTGACTGACAGAATAGGTAGAAACGGACGCCGGCTCCTATGACCCAATTATTCTACATCCTTCAGTCATCAGCAATTGTAAACTCGTGACTCTGTAAGCGTTCATCTCCCAGCAACGAGTATGAGGATATAACCAAACAAGGTTTTGGAAGAGGGAAAAAAAAAACAAATGAGGTTTTGAGTCTCACCAGGAGGGGGAAGGAAAAGCCTTGCAAAAGCATTAACCCCCATCCCTTCCTCTCTCACAAACCCAATGACTCCACTTCCCGCCCTTCCGTTGGTTCTCCTCCACGCCCCCCCCTTCCCCCACGCACCTTGGTTAAATCAACCAAACGACCCGGTTTGGCCGACACTGTCTGGTTTCAGTATCGCGAAGCATTTGCAAACGCAAAAACCTGATGATTTTTTTTCTTCCAGCATCGTGCTTGACTCATCATGCAGGGACTTAAAAGTGGAGCTACCTGAGCAGTGGGTGGGGCTACCTTACCAGTGCGTGGAGCTATGTGGGCAGTGGGCGGAGCTACCTTGGTAGTGGGCGGGGCTAGCAGTTGAGTGGGCTTGGCTATGGCAAAAGTAGGCGGAGCTGATGGAGGGAAAGAGGCCACACAAGTGGGCCACACCAGGTCACCACTTATCCAGGTTGAACCGCCAAAAAATAATGCGTTTTTAGATTACTTGGCCACTATAAATGTCAACATTATAAGCCACTTCATTGAACTATCATTTGTGGCCAGGTTGCTTCTGAAAAAGAAGCTGAAAGCTCAGTGGCCTTTACCTGGTAAAATAAAAATATTTTATTTGTAGTGATTTGCTTACCTTTCCTATGTTTTGCACTCCTATTGTGTTTTTGTTTTGTTTGTTGCTGTAACTTTCCGACCCGCCCCGCCTCGACTAGACATCTGTGAAAGAAAGCTTTATAGCTCATCGGATTCCTCCAGTATAAATTAAGATTCCGATTCTCTGTGTTCCCCCAGCCGTGGCACAAGCAGTGCTTTCGATGCGCCAAGTGTGGCAAGGGGCTCGAGTCCACGACGGTGACGGACAAGGACGGCGAGATTTACTGCAAGGGTAAGCACGGCGTTCGCTGCCCACGAGGCCCTATGCCATCGTATCTTGCCAGGTGGCATTGTCCTTAGACGCAAGTCATCTTCAAAATGGGAAAGCTTGTGATTGCAAATTCCGCTCGGGGACTGGTTGACTTTTCGCCATCTCTCGATGGGCCACGTAGCAGTCACGGTGTGCATGAAGTTCCAACCTGCGCGACAAGAATATTTTTTCTCTCAAGTCACGGTTGTTAAACAGAGGCCGTATGCGAGGGGTGACAAGCTGTGATCTCGAGTTGGGTTATTCTGTGTAATGTTGAACCTTTGACCAATTTACCTGATTAGTCTCGTTCGATATTAAAACATAGTATAATAACAAAATAAAGGAGATTTGGAAAAATTTACCATTAAAGTTTATATAAGCCTCTGACCAAGCTAAGCAGGTTTGCGCTTGGATAGTGCTCGGATGGAGCACCACGTGCACAATTGGATGTAATAGGCTGTGGGTCTACGCTGTGGTCAGCAGAGTGCAGTACTCAAATAACTTATACTCCCACATCTATGTTCCTTGCCTTCAAACCGCACTGATCAGCATTATGAAGTGCGGTCAAACAGCCCCCGTAACCTAAGAGCACGGGGAGGATCTCATCCAGCTGTGGATTGACGAAAGTAGTGTGAATCTTTAAAAAAAAACGAAGCACAGCTACGACTATTTTTATTTTCGTCGGCTATTCCCCCCCGTCTCGTCATCCCAACCCACCCGCTCCACTTTGCTCCCCGCCCTTTCTCCCACCGCCTCCCCACAGCGTGCTACGCCAAGAACTTTGGCCCCAAAGGCTTTGGCTTCGGACAAGGAGCGGGAGCGTTGGCCCACGCGCAGTGACGCGTGGGCGACCCCCCCCCCCCCACCCCCCCCCCCCCGTTTCTCGCGGACGCAGGAGCCGCCGTTCCCGCCATCTCTCCGGAAACAAAGCCAGCGGTGGGCGAGGGCTGGCACCAGGCCCTTCTTTCGCCACTCCCCCTCGTCCCCACCTCGTCGTCGGCAGCGACGTCCCGCATTCCTCCACGCGTGTCCGCGTATGTTGGGGGAGTGCAAATTGACACACCGGCACTCGGAGAAGTACAACGAATACAACGTGTATTATTGGGGCCCATAACTTCACCTATGGGGCTCCTCAAACTGTCTTAATGATTTTAAATAACCCGACAAAAGCCTCTTAGGCCCCAGAGCAACCTGTGAGATTATCTACTGCTTGCACGTGTACACATGCAATCCAGAGATAATCACACAGGCGAGGTGGATAAGTGTGTTTGAGACTCCTAAATTGCTCCGTTGTGAAGGTGGTTATTAAAAGGGCAGTGGAGCTAGTAGGTTGCTGACCAATCTGAATATAGAGCTTTTAGAATAACTCTTATTTGCTTGTGTTGAGAAATCGGGACAAACAACGGTGTTGGGAAAAAAGTGCCTTCACGCTGAATTGAGGTTTTCCTGAATAATGAAATCGTTTTTTGTATATTCAGTGGGCACTCCCACCTCTTCCAAGATGTCTGGTCAACATGGACGAGTAGGCCAAACACCTTCGAGTGGAACTCCCTAGAGAGCAAGCAGTGGAGGCCTTTCTGCCAACTGTGGCATGAACAAGCGATTTCAGGTCTGCAACTTTACCTTTGCTTAATTTTAATTGCATTCAATAACTTGCAAAATCCCAACAACATCCGACTAAATCTTTCAAAACATCCCTTAAGTGCTCCTAACATGTTGGATCCCACGAACCATAACAGCCTTTCATATTTCAACAAGAGCAGGTTTATTAGGACGGCGCACCGAGTTAGAAAACAGCTCACGAGACCCCCCCTCCACAGCAACCTGGCAACCCAGAACCACATTCTCACGGCCTCATAAATTTAACTGACCGCAGGCTTGCCCATGACTTGCTGCTTCTTGATGAGTTGGGGAGACAATGTTCTCTGGCTATCACGCTCACCATATGCATGCGATTCACGTGTTATGCTGTGGTGATGATCGTACACTGGCACATGTTGGTGTGTCTGTAGATTGTTAGCTTACGACTTCTGAAGTGGTGCAGCATTGCGTGAGTCCAGCATGGGTAAACAATATTTGTCAAAGCTTCGGTTGCGCAATCCTGAAATAATTATAACAGTCGATTTTAAATTGAAAGTAAAAATCAAAATACATACATTATAATATAGCGTTATAACATTCAATATGTTTTGTTTTATACTATGCTTAAGCATTACGATCGTTACTTTGCAGGATGGCTTTAGGGAGGCCTTCATCCAACAGTTGATTGATCATGGCTGCTGATGATTATGAAGATACTAACATAGCATGCATTTTCTGAGACTGCTGTAGATAGACTTGCCCCCAGCCACAATAACGTGTAATTTCCACCACTGGATCAGAATCGTACATGAAGATTCGAATCCCACCCCCCCATGTATGTTACTGTAGGGAAACACTTTCAAATATATATTTTCAACTATAATAAAGTACCAAGTAAAGTTCAGTGTCGGTATTCGATAAATATACGTATATTATTTCATAACTTTGCGGGTGATTTGTAAAACAAAAAGATGCTGCATCTACTTACTTGCAAGTTTGGCCAATGTGAGACAACGAATACATAGCGCTTTCCTTTGTTCCATTTTGATTTTTTTTTTTTATCTCGAAGGATCGTTTACATTCCACGAGTTGTTTCCACATTGCTGTTGAATGTCGAACTGTACAATTTCTGGGGGTTGCGGCCAGATGAGCTGAAGGACCTTTAATATTCCATGAAAAATCTGTAGAGTAGTTTACTTGTTCCTAAGCATGTCTCGAACAGCAGTCGCCCTTGTTCTGAAGCGCCGTGGTTGATGCGACTCGGTGGCTTTTGGGGACGCTGGCCATAGGGCATTGACCTGATTGGCACCGATTGAAACCCTACATTTGAATTCTGAGCTTCAGCACGCAATTTATTCCGAGAGCGTAAGCTGGCGAAGTGATGAGTTTCGTGACTGGTTAGTACTCCGACACTGCCCATTATGAGCCCCTTAAAAGACTACCGTACAGACAATGTCGACATCTGTAGCAAAAAGTAATCTTAAGTTCATTAGTTAGATCTCTACCGCAAATACACTAGTTTTGCATCATGTACGTCTGTTGCGCGATGAAACGGGATGATGTGCCGTTGTCGTCCGAGCATTTTCACTTTCATTAAAACCTTGCACCAAACGTGTGTGTTGGCAATCTGTGTATACGCGTGGCTGTAAAGGGTTAGGTAGGCTTCTGGAGTAACGCGTGACTATAATCATATTTCCATTCACTGGTGGTGTGTTCGTAATCGGAGGCTGCCGCTGCCATTGGGAGAGAGAAAGATGGAACCATGTGCCGCATCTGGATGGATTGCTGCATTTCTGAACTGAGGCATGGCTAATGGCTTGAGGAGGCCTTCATCCAGCAGTGGATTTCAGTTTGATTTATTTGGTATAGCCCTGTGAGCCATTCGGCTCTTGAATCGGATGCAACCGCAACATAAAACATGAACAAGAAAACATCTTCATTGATCATGGATGGACGATATGCCCCAAAGCTATATTAACCATCAATATCCACTTTGCCAGTGGTGGAGGCAACTAATCATTTTGCAGGTGGAGCTATGAATTAACAGATTCATAAACGTTCTGAAATCCATCATCCCGTCGCCTCAAGCGAATCAGTCCTGAGCCTAGAAAATGCATGGATTGATGACTACCAAAAACATGTGTAATCGGCGTTTTTGGGCAGTAGAGGGCAGTGCAAGTAAAATCCATTGATTTTCTGGACTGTGTTTTTCCCAACTTCACCAACCCGTAATGACCAGTTAGGTGAAGTATGGTTAAATGAAACTCACTCCACCTGCACGGTGTGTGTGGGGAGGCCCTCGGCATTGGATTTGCAAACGGAATGTGCATGTGCATACATGAGTCATTGTAACGGTAGATACAGGAATACAGTTACGTGTGGAAGAAGACATTTTTTTAGTCTTCAAATCACATGCAAATTATATTGTGATGGTGAGGGGCCTGAAACCTAATTGGCTAACGTCGTCTTCCCTTAACCAAGATGGCCACACACAGGAAGTTAAATATCAGGATTCCCTTTACCTTTCTTACGTATGGCTGATTTAGATACAACAACTACAATTTCACATTCATGCGGTCAAGCAAGGCAAACGCATCATTGCATCGTTATTTGCTGTATGGTGTGTTCTGGATGACCACAGTCAGAGGATTTTTTTTCGCAGCTGCGATGGTGTCCGCGTCTGCCATGTGTGTGTGTGCAGTGGATGCGGTTTAGGGTGGACCGTGAGCTTCGTGGACGATCTCAACCCAAGGAATCTGAATCACTAACAATCGCATTGGATTTCCTTTACAAAGATGGCCGCCCATTGCCCACGAGGTTCCTGTGCAAGATGGCCGGCAATTACCTACGAGTTCCCTGTGCAAGATGGCCACTCACTACCCACGAGTTCCCTGTGAAAGATGGCTACCCATTACCCATGAGTTCCCTGTGCAAGATGGCCGCCCATTACCCACGAGGTCCCTGTGCAAGATGGCCACCAATTACCTACAAGTTCCCTGTGCAAGATGGCCACCCACTACCCACGAGTTCCCTGTGCAAGATGGCTACACAATACCCATGAGTTCCTTGTGCAAAATGGCCGCCCATTACCCACGAGGTTCCTTTTTCAAGATGGCCGCCAATTGCCTACGAGTTCCCTGTGCAAGATGGCCGCCCATTACTCACGAGGTCCCTGTGCAAGATGGCCGTCCATTACCCACGAGGCCCCTTTGCAAGATGGTCGCCAATTACCTACGAGTTCCCTGTGCAAGATGGCCACCCATTACCACGAGGTCCCTTTGCAAGATGGCCGTCCATTACCCACGAGGCCCCTTTGCAAGATGGCCGTCAATTACCCACGAGGTCCCTGTGCAAAGATGACCGCCCATTACTCACATTGTCCCTGTGCAAGATGGCCGCCCATTACTCACACTGTCCCTGTGCAAGATGGCCGCCTTTAAGAAGACGTCACGGGCCACCAAGACCCGCTCCGTTTTCCATTTTGTAATGGCGCGCGTGCTGCACGGTGAGGCGTGCAGGGATGATTTCGCTCGCGTTGCTATTTATTTCCGTCCACGTTACTCCGTTGTTGTCACCGCGTTCACACATGCTGTCGATTGTGTTAACTTTGTAATGCGTTGCGTAGCGCGTTGGTTAAAGTGGTCTTAACTTGATTACCCGGCGTTTGGTTTGTGTTATCCAACGGAGGCCTTTCTGAATAGGCCGCGTATTTTCGGGTGAAAATGTTCAACGTTTAAAGTGGAACTTTACTTTGTTTTCAAGCTATATATTTACACGTCGCATCCACACAGTGTGTTTATACAAACTATAGTCCGTTCATGTTTGCACTCAAGTTTCGTTCGTGGAAGTTTTAGTCGCGGCACTATCCATATGATTCTGGAATTTCCGCCTTTTGATTTTGAGCATTTTATTTTATCACAAATATGTACAACAGCAAGGTAGCGGTGGACATTTTATTTTGGGGAAGCGTGATTTAAATAATAGCGCTGCGGTATGTTCGGCAGATAATGTTTATCGAAATAAAAAAATGTTACATGTCCAGTATCTAAAACCGCTACGATAAGCTTTTTTTTGCCCGTGTTGGATAATGGTAGCAGTACGCTTTGAACGTGAGCTCTCTATTACCCGTGGCTGTCGCCCCTCGCCTGGCCCCACTGACCCATGGGGTCTGGCATGCGTGTGGCCACGGAGAGAAACACCCGTGAAGGGAGAGGAATCTGCCGACAGGACTCGTGGAGACGTGGGGCAACCTGTGCGATGGCTCCTCACATGCGAGCGCGTGCACACACACACGAACACACAAACGCAATTCCCCACAACGTATTTCACACACATCAACCCCCACACGCAGTTCGTGAATTGAACTAAAATTGAGCTCGAGATAAGAGCCCAGCCCAGTCCGTGATGACAAACACTGCGCAAATCTGACGCGCTTCGGTGCCGTGTGATCTAATGGACTATTGTACCTGAGACTGGGCTGTGTGTATCCAAGGGCTGAATTGAAACTAGGGATACTGCATGATTTGCCAAAGACGTCTAAATTGCTTGATTGTCGAGATTCTAAACTCGTTTGTACTGTATATCATTTCAGGCTGTTCGTGGCTTTATTGACTGGAGAGAGGGGGGCCATTCCAGCTCAAGAAATCCGGAGATTCTCACAAGATTCGTATATGTTTTGTCGTGGAAGATATAGATGAAATATGAAACGGGCCATTTTTTTTACTCTGTAAAGAGCTACCGAGATGCACAGAGACCACTCTATGCATTCTCTCAAATTTCGGTCCACCTGATGACGACTGCGTGTGTTGCAATCGAAGCGTCGTATTTTATTTATTTATTTTATTTCTACGTGACTTTACCGAAAGAACCAGAGAGTGATTCCTGCAGTCACGAAAGCTTCAAATCAAGTTTGAACTACGGTACTGTTTAATGTATAGTGTAGTATTTAATTGAGTTGCCAAGGAATATAAATTCCGGCGTAAAAATGCTAAAAGGGAGGTAAATGGAAACGTAGAAAATGTAGTGAAAAATACTAAAATAACGGAGTAAGAAAAACCGCTCGTACCGAGTTAAAAGATGAAATTCTAATCCTGAAAGGAAGATGAGGCAAAAATACCCAATAGCTCCCTCTCGTGGGAGGCCCTTTTGCCAGAAATGGTCTAAGCAAGCAATTGTCGGGATGCAACTTTACCTTACGGATGTAGTTCAACGTACATTTATCTTGGAGACAAGGGCTCTGTAAAGGGGTGGAAGGTTAGGACGATTCTAAGGGCCCAGGCTGATTTAGGGCCCAAAAGAGCAGACCCCCTTTATTTTTTCTTATTTCTTTTCTCTTTTTTATACATACATTAAATGTGCTAGGGCCCCTCATGCACTAAATGTGTATTTTGTCCGTTTTGACCATAGATTTAATATTTAAAAAACAATGTATTTACTTTTTGATTTAAAGCTTTCGTGACTGCAGTAATTCATATTCTTAGTTTTTTCGGTAAAGTCACGTTGAAGAGAAACAACAAAATAACAAAATATATATAAAACAATACAAAATTCTCACGACGTTTCGACCATAACTCAAACGGTCATCATCAGGTGTTTGAGTTATGGTCGAAACGTCGTGAGAATTTGACCGAAAAAACTAAGAATATAATGTATTTACTGTTTCAGTCACACCCCTCCCCCTCACAATGGTTCATTCTACCTGCGCTGTCCGAGCTACGATCGCTAGTGTAGCGTCTCTTGCTTATTGCACTTGCTATGATGCAGTGCAGACAGTGACACACGCAGGCATGTCACATCAAAAGTCAGGGCATCAAAAACGGAAAGAAAAGAAGGAAAGAGAAGACAGAGAACACCGAAGTCGACAGTGTCACAGTTTTTAAAAAATAAAGGTAGCTTGCCCTATTCCTGTATTCCAAAACTTTCAGTTTTGTTGCTACATGACCTGCTTTTATCTAGCTAGCTTAGTAAAATAATTACTGAATTATGATTTACATCCAACAATAATAACATCTCTGCTGTCTCCGGGGTTATCATGTCTCGTAGACACAGATTCAGCGGCTGCTGCACACTAACGTCCTCCTTCCCCCACGTCCCCTGTCCCCGTCTCAGCCGAACAAGGTGAGCCTGAGCGCGAAACTTTATGAAGATTGAAGCCTCTAAACACGTCTTATCTACTGTGTTTGCCACATGATAACTTTACAAAACAAAAAGTAATCTACACGCTTCAAAAATTACAAAATCAGTTTGCCGTGTGTGTTCTGTGAAGTGACAGTGCTGCTGCTACGATCGATGCTGTCAAACTTGGCGTTCTTAATGTGAATAAAATGCCCCAGAAAAAAATAATATAAAATTGAATAAAACATGTGTCTGTAGTAACCATTGGCTATAAGGAGTTTACAAAATATAGATAAATATTTTATATTAAGAAAACTAAACAGGCCAATAAAAATAATATGGTTATTATTACGTGTGTGTGTTTTGACTTAGACAGATGCAGTCAGCTTTATTGTCTGTACCTCGTTCTACTAATGACCCAGTCCTCTCAGTGTCAGGTAAGGTGAACATGGTCAGCTACCAAGGTAGTAAAAACTAATTAAGTTTTGGATTGTCTAATTTCTTGTGTTGTATAGTTATGTTTCATATAATATTATTCAACAATGAAGTTAAGAAAATATTAATTCTAAGCTGTAACTTGCTGTTGACTGGGGGACAAAATTATTTTGCTATCCTAACCCCACAGAAACAAGAGAGACGGAGAGTTTTGCCAGGAAAGAGTGTGGAAGTTGAGGAAGCGGTGAGAATAGTGGAATATGAGAGCACAGAGGGAGCCCTAAGTGTAAAGGAAGATAACAGAAGAGAGGAAGATGAGAGAACAGGGGAAGCCATGAGAGCAGACTCAGAGGAAGATGAGAGAACAGGGGAAGCCATGAGAGCAGACTCAGAGGAAGATGAGACTTGTGTCAAATGATCCTGGTTTGTGGCCAGCAAAAATTAGCAATGCAGACAGAAAAAATTGTGGAAAAAATAGCTTCTAAAGATAAAGAACAAGAAATGCCACATGATTCAAAAGGTAAAGCCTTCCCCGAATACCTGAAGTACACAAAGTCAGGAAATTACAGGGAAAAGATTAAGAGAGACTGGGTCATTTACAGCCAAAGCACAAATGCACTATTTTGTATTCCTTGTGTAGTATTTGGTCATGAGCTAAAGAAACCTTGTATGAGCACACTAAGCAGTCAACATGGTTATAAAATCAAAGACATAACATGGCGTCGAATGTATGATAAATTCCCTAACCACGAAAGCAGCAAAGCACACAGGGAGTGCTACTTAAAATGGAAAACCTTACAACAGTCTGTAATGGCAGCTGTCCCTGGGGGAATAGACAGCAAGCTGAAGAAGCTCATACAAACAGAAATAGACAAAAATAGAGCTATTCTGAAGAGGATACTAGATGTAACCTTGTTCTTGGCCTCTCGAAATTTACCCTTTAGGGGTAAAAAAAAGACTTGGGGGACATTCATAATGGCAACTTCTTGGGCACCCTTGAGCTGCTGTCCCATTATGACCCACTACCCAACGACCATCTACAAAAAGTCAGACAAAAAAACAGGAACAAGATTGACACTATTTAAGCTCAGATATTCAGAAGGAATTTATTGAGTTATGTGGAAAACGAGTGTTAAGTAGTATTCTTAAGGAAAGGGAGGAATCAGTCTATTATTCAGTCATTTGTGATGCTACTCCTGATATTTCACATACAGAGCAAAATGTATTACTCTTACGATATGTAGGTTTTGATCAAGAAATGGGAGGTTGTTGAAAGGTTTTTGGAGTTTAAAGATTTTCACAAAAAAAACAGGAAGTGAGATTGCAGACATGATTGTAAATGTGCTTAACAGTCATGGCATAGATCTGAATGACTGCAGGGGCCAAGGCTATGATAATGGGGCAAACATGTCTGGAAAAATCAAGGGGGTTCAAGCCCAATTATTAAAAATAATAAGCTGGCTACTTTTTCCCCTTGTGCGTCTCATACTCTGAACCTTGTTGGTGTGCATGCTGCTCAATCAAGTCCAAAGGTTACCAACTTTTTTGGCTTTGTCAATTGCCTTTATGCACTTGTTAGTGCCAGCCCAGAGCGATGGGCCATCTATAAGGCAAAAACGGGTTGCACTTTACATCGTCTGTCAGACACTCGGTGGAGTGCAAGGGTTAAGGCCGTTCAACCTATAGCCAAGCACCTGCCCAGTGTCCTAGACGCTCTTGATGCCATCCTCTCAACCTGCAGTCTGACACCAGAGGCTCGGTCTGAAGCCAGCGGCCTAAAAAAGTATTTTGAAACTTTTGATACTGTTTTTCTGTTGACTGTTTGGGTCAAAGTTCTGCAAGCCATTGACAAAAGGAATATTATTCTCCAGTCAGGGAAATTAACTCTTGAGACAGGCAGAAAATATCAGAGCATTGCAGGAAGAGATGCAACATCTGAGGGATGAATGGGAGAGTTTCTTTTCTGAAGCATCACTTGTTGCTCAACAGATGAGCATTAACCCTCTGTTCAGGTCAGGATTCAGCCGCCAGAGGAAAAGAAAACGGTTTCACGATGAGGCAGAGGTAGAGGGAGCAAGGGAGCACAGTGCAGACACCATATTCAGAAACACTGTTTCTTCCCATGATGGACCACATAATCAATGACTTAAGTACCAGGTTTGCCACAACAGCTGAGATCTTGGATCAGTTTTCTGTAGTTGTAAAAATGGGTCCGTTACGCGATGATCAAATCCATTCTGTATGCCAGCCATTGATTTCAAAATACAACACTGATCTGACTTGTGAATTTGAAGATGAAGTCAGACACCTCAACTCTGTATATAGGGCCACTTTCCCAGGGTGTCTGTCACCAATTTATCTGCTCAACAGCATTTACAAGATGCAGCTGCAGAGTATTTTTGGGCAGGTCTGCATAGTTTTGCGAATATTTTGCACACTGCCTATGACTGTTACTGGTGGCGAGAGAGCATCCAGTAAGCTGAAACTAATAAGAAATTATCTGAGGTCTATGTTGCAGGATAGACTTTGTCACCTTGCCATACTATCCATTGAAAGCAAACTGGCAAGAAAGCTGAACTTTGATTTGATAAATGATTCTGCCAGCAGAAAGGCACGCCGCTGGGCGATTATAAAGTGATGTTGAACATAACTTTATTAGACCTGGATAACAAACAGTTGATGTCTGGTTCAGTACTTGTTTAGTCCTGAACTGGTTTAGGCCTGGCATTACTCCTGGTGTCTTCATTTTGAGCCCTTTTGGCCTAGCTAGTTTTATTCCTGGACTGATTTAATTATGGGTTAGTTCTAGCTGATGTTCCCTGATTGAGCAGTTTGACCCAGCTAAAGCTTGTTCATGTAAAGTATGTCAATATGTGTACATTGTTCTGTTGTGCTTGCAATTGAGATAATAAATGTTCTCCCTTTTATGTAAACAAGTACATATTTCTATATTTTTTCTTGTTTTTGTAGGCTTTGTACTCATCTTTAGACATTTTAACTACGCAATGTGCTAAGTATCTTTTTTAAAGTATACTGGGCATGTTTATTGGGTTAAATTTTACCTGTAAAAAATGTAGGGGGCCCAGAAATTTTGGTTTCCATAGGGCCCAGAATTTCTGGCGGCACCCCTGCTTGGAGAAAATAGATGTCAAGAACGACTAATGCAGGAATGTATGAGGAACGTCTTTGATTTTATGTAAAAGATTGAGCAAAGAGCTCTTAGTATTGAGATGTACAGAACTGCTACATTAGGCACCAAGTTTAGATTACCTTTTATCTTTATTTTGAACCATGGAAATGCATTTGCAACCTTTGCTCAGGCTGCTGGAACAAAGAACAAAATTGTTTTGCGCTGGATGTATGAATTTTTGGGGTTATTTGACTTTGTAAACGTTTTCTGCACGTAATGTAATTAGATTGTATTTTGTACCCCATTTCCCCGTTTAAATGTTTTGTTTTCATGGACAATGTTCACTTGATCATTATTAAAAGTTCAAAAGGCAAGTGTTCCATGGATTTTATTTTTAAAATGAAAAGCTATCTCTTGCATTACAGATCAACTCTTTGCAGTGAAAATCAGTTGAACACGTAGGTGTTCTTGACCAATATCCAGACAATTTTGGGTTTGAAAATTTAAATATATAAATGTCATTAAAAGTCAACGTACTCGGTTTGTAAATGTAGCTTGGCTCTCCAACACAGGTGTGCTGTACTAGTGACGAAATTGGCATGTTCTGTTTACGTGACAACCGTTACTAAGTGGTGGTGGGTTTTAGTGGCACATTTATATATTTGTGCTCTAGCCCAAAAACCTATATGCAGTGAAAATATTTACCAGTTACAACTCCTTTAATAATCTCATTAAGTGCTACACCGTTTAGGCTGCCAACAGATACAGCTTTTGGAATTTGCCTCAAACTTGTGGATTTTTTTTCTGAGCACCCTTGACATCACTTCATGCACTGCAATACCCGTTTTCCACTATACAACTGAGTCAATCCTGGTGCCCAGGAAACAAGACTGCTCCAATGTGCTCGTGAAAAATGGTAGTTTGCTAAACTTTCCCAATACAACCTGCCCTAAAAAGCTCTTAACATAGCTCAGGACTGACTACCAATGTCACAATTTGGTTAAAATTTGTTTCCATTTTCTCACCTCTGCTTCAATACCATTCATGTAAACGATTGATACATAGTAATCGATGAATGTACACTTTAATGCATTGTAAAACATCTTAAATCATTGCATGCCTAATTATAAAAGTGCCAAGAGAATGAAACTCATCCTAAAATAGTACCCTCTTCCAATGCATAGCCTGAATCTCCAAGTGTAGTATAACCTGAAACTCGAAACATTCAGTGCTTGTGCACATTTGACCAGACCCCGACAGGTCTAGTGGAAGTAGGTTATTCATTCAATTGTCCACAAAGGCAAACCCCGATTAACTCTTTCGTAATAAACATTTCATATGCACTGAACTGTGCTGCTTTGCGTGGATGAATTATAAGTGGACCTGCAAAGTTTCCTCCAGTGTCGAAGTGGATTTTAACTTTTGAGGTTCCTTTGTGATAATGTCCTGGTTAGCAGCTGGGTGGCACGTATGTTGAAAAATTGTTCACACCATACATAGCCAACCATTCAGAAGATCGAGTTTAAATCACCGTTGGGGTAAACATTACCCCTCCTCGGTGGATATGAATGCCACTTTGAAAAGTGGGTTTACACAAATCCCTGCCATAAAAATGGGAAATTACCACTTTCCAACATCTTGGTTCTTTCGGTAAAGTCACGTAGAATGGAAATAATAAAATAAAACAATAAAATATTTTATTGTTTTATTTGTATTATTTCCCTTCTACGCGACTTTACCAAAAGAACCAAGAAGATGAATCCCTGCAGTCACGAAAGCTTTAAATCGACACTTTCCAACACTCATGCGCGTAATGTATGAATATGCTTATAACTTCTGTGATGACACATGATCAACATCCTATAAAATCAGACTGCACGTTAACAGGCCAACTCAGATGTAATTGAATTAGACGTTTAAAAAAAATCTAATCCCATTGATTTACCACAGCCCACTGCAGCCATAATGTAATATGTACAAGTGGTTATAGAGGCTTGGGAACGTGTGTCAAATTAATTATCAATGTTTGATGTATTCTCTTTAAGACCATCCTTTATGTACATATTATACAAGAAGTGCATTGTTAAGGGCTGCTTTGAGAAATCTGGTACCACGATTTGCATTGAAACTTGGCGCCACTAGAAATGTGGAATTTCTACTAACGGGGGATTCCCCGAAGGCGTTTAATAGCACCCTTAATGTTGTTTTAGCAAGGGGACACTTTTTCTCAAGCAGCAGCGTTAATGCTGCTGCTTGAGAAAACTGTAAAAGTGCCTCGGTGGCTTTGTTTCATCCACATTGTAAGTGCTTCACTTTAGGCGAAGGCCTAAAATCTCATCCAAATGATGCGCACGAGGTGTAAAATGGGTTTGGTCAAATCATTAATTCAAAGTGTCTCATGTGTTTGCATTACGAACAACGCTTTGATCCATGTACTTTCCAGTAACAGTTTTCCCACATTAACGATAACTGGATTTTTTGGACCACATCCAACCTTGTACTCCTTCCAATTTACATTACAAAGTGAATTCAACGTGGTAAACAATGCTTCCCGAATTGAATTCACAGCAGTGGAGCCTCCCACTATGGAACTCACTTCCAACTCAGTGTGGCAAGTGGCAGAATCAATAAAAAAAGTCACTTGCTCCGGTCATTGTGTGGACCCAGCAAGCGATGATATTCTGCAAAGAAAAGTGATGTAGGGATTTGCAACAGGCAATTGATACTGTCCATAGGTTTTTTTTTTGGTGAGATCGCATGAAAAAATGTCGTTAAACCCGCCACCACTAGACACAGCCAATCAGTAAGGTTTGTCACGTAAACAAAACGCGCCAATTCGTTACTAGTACAGCACACCGGTGTGTTGGAGAGTAAATCCACAGAATTTACAATTCGAGTACGACCTTTCCCTAGAAATTACAACCAGCATCATCAGGCGACAGCCAGATTGTGACAGGTTTAACGAAATGTATATTTATGCAATCTAATCCAAAAAACCTCATGGATATTGGTCGCGAGATCCTACCGGTTAATGTTTTAGCACGGGGACACTTGTTTGTGATTTGCATCGCTCCTGAACCACCTCTTCAAAAATGGAGGAAGCCGTTCACGATATATATTTTTTATATAAAAGTCAATGCAAATCAACCTTGGGGTATGTACACATGTAGAATTATTTTTACAACTTAACAATATCACCAAGAGCGTTGAACAAAGTTATGCTGTGATTTTTCTGAGACCATGGCAAGCATCAACAAGACTTGAATGGCGCATGACCTTTGTGTTGTGACATTCTGAGCAACACAGTTGACCCATCCGTTTCAATTGTTCATTCCATAATGATATTGAGGCAGCTTCCACATTCTGGCTTTGGCCAACCTATACCACGCAATCACCTCATCAAAGATCGTTTGGGACATCTTCATTCCGTTTAAACTCACTGTAACTCTTTTGCAAAAAAAATCCACGTGTACACACCTTTACCCAGTCAGGTTGGGTGAATGCACAGGCAATGAGATATTACGGCCATGTGTGTTGTAGTTAATGGTGGGGCCTCAAGGCAAAGTAGAGGTACCGTTTCACACTTGGGGGAAAAACAAGGGCACACTCACTATTTATGAGCGCAAACCATGCGATGGAAATAAAAAAACATGTGGATGGCATATAGGGCTTCCAAAACGCCATTCCTTCCTCTCCCACAGTATCATCTATTTCTAGGTTTCCTCCCATTTATGTCTTAATTCTCCCGATCTCATTCCTCTTATACCCCTCTGGCCTTTCTGGACTCCATCCTTCCCTGCCTGTCTATCCTTCCTCTATAGGTACCCCCCCTGCCCCCACCACATCATCCCTTTCCTTCCCCGTGCAACCTTGTCAGTAGGGGTAGAGCGGATGCCACCAGGACAGGGTGCGCACATTGCCCTGGTGGTGCCCGTTCTACTCTGCCTTGCCCCTATCCTTTGTCGCCTGCCTTGCCTCTCCCCCTGCCATCGCTTCCTCCCGCGCGCGACCCTGTCAGTAGGGGTAGAGTGGGTGCCACCAGGGCAGGATGCGCACGCTGCACACGGGGTCGAGCACGACGAGGGGCCCGGCGTCCACGCGCCGGCGCGTCCGCCCGCGCGGAGCTGGCGAGTCGGCAAACGCCAGCTTGACGCGGTGGTGCCGCATGTCGGTGCTCACGGAGATCATCAGCTGCGCGCGCAACGGGGCAAACGGCACGAGCGCACCGCGTGACGCAAGCACAATACGTGGCACGCGCTCAACGTGCGCATTGTCAATATGTGCGGAATACAAATCGGATACGCGGCACAACGCGGACAACAAATCCATGCACAATACCCTGGGTCTTTCAGTTAAAGTCATGTAGATTTTTTTTTTTTTTCTATCTACGTGACTTTATCGAAAGAGCCAAAGGAGTGTGAATTTCTGCAGTCGCGAAAACTTTTAAGTCAACATGCACAACAGCAATACAACGCACAAGCAACCCAAGCATATGTAGAGTACATATACAATGCACGTACAATGCAAATACAATACACATGCACAATTTGAGCACAATAAACAATGCAAGCCCAATGCTTTATACAATTGTAGTGCCCAATGCTTTATACAATTGTAGTGCACAATGCAAATACAGACAATATAATAAGGGCGCTCCCCGCCCCCCCCCCTCCCTCACCTGCGAGAGCGTCATGCCCATGACGACGGGCACGAGGATGAAGTTGAGCACCGTCACTTGCAGAAGGCAGCAGTCGCCGTCAGCGTTCTCGCTCACCCCCTGGTACTCGCGTGGCACTGCCAGCGCTGGGCGCGCCGCCCCCCTGGGTGTCAGCCCCATCCCCCCCTGCACCAGAGCACAACACCGACCAACCGCACGCATGCGTCATTCGACCGCCGCCTCTGCGTTTCGATGAATCGTCGCGATTCCATACGCACGCACGACACATGTTTTGCTTGGATGCGGATGTTATATTTAGCAATGTAATCTAAATGCCGTGACTTAAAGCTTTCGTGACTGCAGGTATTCATATTCTTTGGGTCTTTCGGTAAAGTCACGTAGATAGGTTAAAAGAAAATAACAGGAAAACTACGACGTTTCGATCGCATCAGGCTGATGACGACCGCTTGCGTTGCGATCGAAACGTAGTTTTTTGTTATTTTCTTTGAACCTATCTACGTGACTTTACCGAAAGACCCAAAGAACATGAATTTAAATGCCATTTGTTAATCCACTGCTTGATGATGGAGTCCGCTCACTGTCTTGAAACATGGGTGGGGGTCGTTTGAGTTCACCACACTTGGCAATGTGGGTTGATGAGTGGGCTGGGGGGGTGACAGGACCAGTTCAAATACCACTCGCCACTGATTTTAGCCATGGACAGTAATGCAACCTCAAGTCAGAGGACAGTGCAGTGTACGAACCTCTTAACCATTACTACTATCAAATTACTGAGGGTAATGTTTCTAGTTGCAATCCGCACTGCATAGTTGAGAAAGGTGGCGTTGTATTGGCAGCTCAGATCCATTGGGAGGAAATTCCCCATTCCCTTGGTGGTGAGGGCTGTATCTCCCCATAGGATGACCATTGCTCATTTCCCAAAGGGATGAACAAGCAGTCAACCCACATCCAGGACTCACAAGCTACAGGTACATTTAAATGTCAATGACACGGCAATCAAGTGGTTGTCATTTGGATTTATAAATCTGCGATAACTACACGAGAACAATCTTCAAGGACTAAATCCACGCTGTACATCACTCGCACCTCAGGAATGTCACTCGTGAGCTAGTTGGTGAAAATTCAGCCTATTGGAAGCCAGTGCTGCAGAGTTCTGAATCTCACCTGTTTTCTAAATTTGAAGTTGAACTCCCACTTGTGCTGCTCCTGGCTGTGTGTGCTGCAGTTCACCTTTCTGTGCCATGACATGAGGCACTTGGGCAGACAGCAGAACAAGAGCACAGAAAACCGACGTGCAATGTCACTCCCAGACGAAGCAACGAATTTCATTTCAGTTGTGTCCATTCGACAGCCAAGTTATAAAGAAAACTACGACTTTCATACAACATATGGGGACTGAAAGGGCAAATTACTGACCCAGTGGATATCCAAACAATCTGCACTTTTGATATATTCTATCGCAACTGTGGCTTTCTGCAGGGTGTCCGGGGCATGCTTGTGTACTGTCGTACTGTGGCTTGCTGAAGGGTGTCGGGCGTGCTGTCGGGCAGGGGGGGCAGGTCCTGCACGCGGCTGCGGAACGGCTCGTAGAGGTGGCACAGCGAGCGCACGACGTTCGCCTTGAGGCCGCGCTGGCACCGTGCCACCTCTTCGGGCTGCAGGCGTGTGGGCAGCTCCGCACCACGGTGGTAGTATCTGCGTGCGCACAAAACACAAACGTCCCGTGTGAAACATACGCAGACTGTCAGGGTGGGCGCTGTTAGCGTGCACCCAAGAGGGCCGGGTACAGTGCACAAATTGCCTCTGTCAGAAATTTCCATTCAAAAACCTAGCGATTGATGGGCAACTCTTCAACCAACCCCAGATCTTTATGCAGGGGGTAAACAAGATGACATCCTTCACTATACAGCCAATTTCACATGGATGACTACCAACATTCACTATGAACTGCACAATAAGCGTTTTACACATATATAAGACTTATGCATGAAACATTTAACATAGGCAAAGCAGTTTTGCTGCACAGCTTGAGTTCACATGACAAAAATAAACTTGACCTGTGCAGTCAAGGAGTGGAACCAGTGAGGGGGCGTTTGGTAATGTGTCCCAGTAAACTACGGTTTTAAATTCTCATTTGTTTTGGAATAAAAATTATTCAATGTATAAACAACTCCCAATTAGAAACGTTGTTGGTTGTGTAAGAACAAGTTTGTCTACAGTAGAAGCACGTTTTTGTACCGTATTTTATATTCACACTGCAGTTAAAATATGATGTAGTTAATGCATGCTCCATAAGTTAGCATTAACACGTACAATATTTAATATTGCATTTTACCCACGAGTGTAAAAAATTGAAATTTATAGCAGGCGAATAATATAAACGCAAGTTTCTGAATGTGAAAGAAAAAAACCAGAGGACCCGGAGAAAAATACACGTGACCACGGGGAGAGAAAGCACGCAAACTCCCAATTATACAACAGGCGTCAAAAGGTTTGGGATCAAGCCCACGACCTCGTGCACACCAGGCGAGGTAGTTCAACATCTCGCCACTGTGGCACCCTCCTGACATCACACGCGAAGCCCTCCAGCCAGGCCCCACCTGCGGTAGAGGCGAGCCCAGAAGACCGTGGTGCACGTGACGAACCACGCGCGCTTGGAGATGAGCGCGAAGCGGCCCACGTCTTCGGGCCGGATGTACGCGGCCAGCAGCAGCCAGAGGTCCATGGGGAACTCCTGCCCTCCCTCGTCACCATCGTCCTCTGCCTCTACACAGCGGGAACGTTGTCAAAAGAGAGCGTTGTTTAGTTGCGACGCACTCACAGAAGCATGTTGAATTGGTAGCATAGCCGTCTGTTTACATCTTGACTTATTGCGTTTGTCACTTCGAAAAATATTTTGCCAGAAAATAAAATGCATCTAACGGAGCCATGATATGAAGATGTTTTGCAAAGCAGACAACACGATTATCGCTGTAGACCTTACATCGCACGATATATTGCAACATCATCATCATCATATCACAGCAGCCCTTAATGTAAACGGCTCATGAGCCATCGCGCAGGAAGAAACTGAAGGGGCTCACTGCTGGCCGGCTTGCTTCTCTTCTTGCGGCTCTTGGCGTTGGCGTGATGCTGGGACTGCGACAACTCCTCCTCCCCGAGGTCGGCACAGTCCGTGTCGTCCGAGTCACAGAGGCCAGAATCGCCCAGCTGCACACCAACCCCCGCCACAGGCACCATCGACGCCTCCAAGCCACACAGCAGCTTTGCTGGTACACAAACCACGCACAAAGACAAACATCTCCTGTATAACCTACACAGGCTATTATGACAAGGGCTGTTATAGCAAGCACCTATGAAGACCAGAATAGCACAAGGGGCCGTGGTTTGGTCCGTACCAAACATGGTCGCCTTCGTCTCCCCAGTGCTGATATACGTATGTGTATGTATGTTAAACTTCTTTCGCACCGTACATAGCCAACCGTGCCAATCGGAGGATCTGGGGAAAGGACAACAAACTCAGCACAAAAAGCAGTTCTAAAGAAAGGGGCATACACCACACCAGGTGCTCATTTATGGCCGACATATATTACCATATTTCACCTTTAATATCACTTGAGATGGAACATCTCCTTATGAAGGGTATCCAGGGTGTCGATTGACACATAGATAGCGAATACGATTTGACGTGGGAGAGGCCTAGAAAGTGGTTCAGATATCACCTGTCACTAAAGATAGCAGTGGCCAGGAATCAATTTCAAGTCGCTAAATTCATAGCAGTGCATGCAAATCATCATTGCACCTACGCTCCTCCACTACTCCCTATAACACACACCAAATGACGCAATAGCTTCCCTTTGCTCAGCAATGCAGATGTCACGAACGGGCCAAGTCTATTCCAAGCACAAGCTCACGCCGTGTAGTCACAGGCTTCCTAGAAAATGTACTATAACTTTCCAGACATTTTCAAGACTCTTAGGGCTCATTCTTAATGTCTGACTGTTAGAGACATGTTTCAAGATATTCACGCAGACTTTAATCGTTGATAAATTCTGCATTTGGCTGAATGGACTTTCCAAAAGTAATTCCGCAGCATGGAAGCGTAATATTACACACATTGCGAATGCAGCTGCATCTCAGAACATGGTACAAGACATTTGTATCGGGTCACTTGCATTCTGGGGAAAGGAGGCACCCATTTACTTCATGGCAAGAGAGAGACTCGGTCATAAAATAGAGCAGAGGAAGGTCTTGGGCCTGGAATTGAAGAGGGGCAGAGAGTGACAACTCGAATGGTAACAGGCAGTCCCAGACGCCAGAGAGCCAGCCACACCTCGCTACAGACTGCCCAAGTCCACAGTGCTGAAGAGACCCCACCTCAACCGCAGTGTTCTCACCTTCTTTGTGTATGGCGTTCACCATGGCCTTTTTGACCCGCCCGGACTTCACCACCGCAGGGTCTGTGTTGGCGAAGTCCGCGACGGTCACTGCACACACACACACAGACACGTCAACCCATGTCGCGTCACACACACGTTGGACGGATTGTAAAGTTCAAACGTACAGGTGTCCCACAGTGAGATTGCCTGCTTAGTTATGGGAGTTGATTAATGACACCACATCCAATGGGAGCTATCCAATCGTAGGATGTTTGCTAAGGGCGGGGGGGTGGGTCTTAAATGACGATGGGTAACATCATCGAATTTAAGTAGAGGCATCGCACATGAAGGTGGCCTTCTTACATTCCAATACAGAACTATCCCACAGTAAGATAGTATTACTAGGTGCTGTAGAGGGGCATTTAAAATCAGTCTCTTGGCCTACTGGACCGTTGTCAAGCAACACTTGACCCCAGGGTCCCGCAAAAATCAGGTCAATAATTATTATTGTTTCAGTCCGCCCACTCGTGATCCCGACAGCAACGCGCCGCCCGCCCAGACTCGCGCCAGCAAGCGCCAGCAGCAGGCGGCGATCAACACGATGGGCGCCACCCCACCGGCCAAACGCGAGCCCCGGGGGGCGTCCGCCGCAGTCGCGCGCGGCGACGACGCCCTCCGGTCAGCCGTCGATCCTCAGCTTCTTTGCCTAGGCGAGCCCCGCCCCCCAGGCAATAAATGTAACGTGTTTATGTAATTTTTGAACTTTTTACGAAACTTAGTGCCCCGAGTAGCTCTCTACGAGGCCAAATGATTGACCACTAGTTTTGTTGTCGGTAAGGCAGCAAGACTCGTGTCGCTACGCGGTTTTTCCAACCGCGGGGCAGTGATGGGACCCCAGGGTCCCGCCAATTGCTTCACTTGTTTAAGCAAGACAACTCTGGACAGTTTCCAACCGTCAGTGTCCCTTTGGCAGTAAAGTTTAGTAAACAAATACTGCATTCCATAATGTAGGTTTTTTTTGTTAGATTGCGTAAATGTGTCGTTAAACACGCCACCACCCGACACAGCTAATTACGTAGTAAGGTTTATCACCTGAACACGACATGCCAATTCGTTAATAGTCCAGCACACCAGTGTGTTGGAGAGCAAATTCCACAATGTTGTGCAGATGTTGTAGATTTGCTCTCACATTAAAGCAATTGAATCAAATAGAATTGTTTCTTCTTCTTGGTTCTTTCGGTAAAGTCACGTAGAATGGAAATAAAATAATAAAACAAAATAAAATTCTCACGACGTTTCGGCCACAACACAAGTAGCCTTATTCTTGGTTCTTTCGGTAAAGTAACGTAGAAGGGAAACAATAAAGTAATAAAAATATAAAACAATAAAAAAATATATTTTTTTATTATTTGTTTCCCTTTTACGTGACTTTACCGAAAGAACCAAGAATATGAATCCCTGCAGTCACGAAAGCTTTAAATCAAAACAAGTAGCCTTCTTCAGGTGAAGGAACAGAACCGTCGGGACAGCGCTTCCAATGAACACTGCTAAGCTTAAAAGACGCTGCCAAGCTTAGCAGTGTTCATTGAAGCGCTGTCGTCCCGACAGTTCTGTTCCTTCACCTGAAGAAGGCTACGTGTGTTGTGGCCGAAACGTCGCGATAATTTTATTTTATTATGTTTTATTTTTATTATTTCCATTCTATGTGACTTTACCGAAAGACTCAACAAGATGAATCCCTGCAGTCACGAAAGCTTTAAATCGAAACGAATTGTTTCTGTTTGATTTTCCTTCATTCGTATGGTGTTACACAGATAAAGTGACTGTTCTGGATCGGCAACACGTTATACTTGATGCAATGAGTGTTTACTTTTCATATTATTTGCACGGACCGTAGATAACACGCCACTGCATAATCATTAACCACAACGATGTTCATGATGTTCGTTTATGACCCTTGGGCTACACCCATTTTAAACATTTAAAACGGTCTGCATCAGCAGCTTTTCCCCCTCTTTTTTTCTTCCTGATGCGATCGAAACGTCGTAATTTTTTTGTTATTTTCTTTCAACCCATCTAGTGTGACTTTACCGAAAGACCCAAAGAAGATGGTTATATTTTTAATAATATCTTCACCACCATAGACCGACCGGTCAAACAACTGCTTGTTAGCCAAAGTAACAAGGCGCCCGACGAACTCACCAATGCGGAGACGAAGCCAGCTAATACTGTTGTTCTGTGCAAGGCATACTCTCGTGGCCATCGCCTGTATGCGAACCGGGCCAACGGAGCCGTGCACTCTTAATTTATAAATGTTTCTAAGTGGGTTTTATTCTCCCAAACATACCCGCGGTGGTGTGCTGCTGAAACTAACGAATTGCCACGTTTGTGTCTACGTGACAAACCCCTTTGTTAATCGGCTGCGTCGGGTGGTGGCGGGTTTAACGACACGTTTATATTTAGGCGATCTTAACCCAAACAACAACAACAACAAAAAACCTCTCTTATGGATACGAAATTGCTGGTGCCCCATCACTGCCCGGACCCTCGCCTCGTTCCAGACGAAGCTCCGGGCCTCGCTCGGCCGCGATCATGGCAGGCCAGAGGCGTGGTGGTGGCGGCGTGATGAGGCCATCATTCAGCAGTGGAGAGACCACGATGGCGGTGAGCGATAGCGAATTGTAGTACAATGCAATGAAAACTTCAAATCTAGAATTGTAGTACACTTAAAAAGACGTGGACTCGCAGCGCCGACTTGAGAGACGCGGTCAGCTGGCTCCTCGGTGTCCACTTGGTGAGGGGAGGCACACATTGGTAGCCTTTCGGATATAATTATCTTAACGAATGTGCTATGAAGGAACATCGGCCGAAACGTCGCCCATTATATATTTTCCTTTTTTCCCGAAATGGTGATGAATGCTGTTTCATAAAAAATATATATACTGTACCCTCCCTTGCCATATGCTGACTTTCCACCACTGGCCGATGGCTGTTGGACAGGGCACGAGCACCGCCTCAATGCGACATTTGAGCAAAACAAAAAAAACAATATCTCTCTCTCTCGCCTTTATTAGTGCGGGGTGGTGGGGGGGAGAAGAGCTGTATCGCTCATCGGATTCCTCCAGTATCAATATTAAGTTTAAAAAAAACTTCCTTTACCAAGATGGCCGCGTTGACACGTGCCCCCCCCCCCGTGCCCCCTCCCCTCCCCCACTATCCCCGCCCCTCGCGCGCCTCTCCTCAACGTTACCGGCGTCTGCGCACGCGTCGCCGCCGCGGAACTTCAGCCGTTTTCTATGATTCCCCTTCTTGGGCATCTCGCGCTCCTCGCCGCGACTCGCGTCGCGCTCACTGCCATGACGGCGAGCAGCGCGACGCGGAGGAAATGAAACATTGGAGCCGGCTGAGCGGCAGCGGCCCTCCTCCTCCTCCCGGGTCGGCGGCCATGACAGACTAAGCCCCTCCCCCCCCGCCGCCGCCTGCCTCCACTCCCCCTCCCTCACTCCCTCCCACCGTCACCCCTCCCCCTCGCACCTTCCCTCACTCCCCTCCCTCACTCCCCCCACTCACTCCCCCCACTCACTCCCCCCACCCTCCCCACCCTCACCCCCCCCCCTCACTCACTCCCCCCCACCCTCCCCTCCCTCACTCCCTCCACCCACTCCCCCCACCCTCACTCCCCCCCCACCCTCACTCCTCCCCCACCCACCCCCTGCGCTGCCACGCGACTCGAGCTCGTGGCGAGGACCGCCCAATCGGGACTTCATGTCACCATTGAAGAGTGACGTCGTGCCACCGAGCGGGTGACGTCGTGCCACCGAGCGGGTGACGTCGATTAAGTTGTGAGCGCGTCACGTTTGATGACAAAATAGACAGTACGGCGCTGGGGAGACATTTCGCCTCCTTTTCAATTTCTTTCCCGCCACGTGAACAACAAACTTGTTCTTTACATTACCCACCGGACCTTCTGTGATTGCATCATTTCAGCAGCATTGCTTCGGTACAAGCACAACTCTAAGACTCGCGCTTGCTTTAAGGCCACTGCGTTGTGAAGTCCGTACAACATTGAGCGTCACCGTCAAATGATGACGTCATCGCATCGTTGGGTTTTTTTTTGCACGTTGACATGACTCGTAAAAAATAAAAACCGCCCAAACCGTCCCGCCCACGTAACGTCTAAGAAATTGCGTCACCGCGAATCGAGTGTGACTACGACGCCGGTGACGTCATCGCGCGGTGGTGGACGTCACGAGGAGGCTGGCAAGATGATGGCGACCTTAGCGGTAGAGCCGCTGCGGCTGGATCGCGGTACGAAGCCTCCTCGGCTTCTGCGTCGGCGGCAACGGTGGCGGCGGGCACGGCGACGGGGCGAGCGCGGGCGCGGCAGAGGGGTAGTGCCGGGGCTAGGGGGACGAGAGCGGGGGATACGGTCCCGTTACCAGGCACGCTGACCACCATGACGGGTCTCATCCCCCACTCTCCCCGCCCCTCATCCCCCACTCTCCCCGCCCCTCATCCCCCACTCTCCCCGCCCCTCATCCCCCACTCTCCCCGCCCCTCATCCCCCACTCTCCCCGCCCCTCATCCCCCACTCTCCTCGCCCCTCATCCCCCACTCTCCCCACCCCTCACCCCCCACTCTCCCCACCCCTCATCCCCCACTCTCCCCACCCCTCACCCCCCACTCTCCCCACCCCTCATCCCCCACTCTCCCCACCCCTCATCCCCCACTCTCCCCACCCCTCATCCCCCACTCTCCCCACCCCTCATCCCCCACTCTCCCCACCCCTCACCCCCCACTCTCCCCACCCCTCATCCCCCACTCTCCCCACCCCTCATCCCCCACTCTCCCCCACCCCTCATCCCCCACTCTCCCCACCCCTCATCCCCCACTCTCCCCACCCCTCACCCCCCACTCTCCCCACCCCTCATCCCCCACTCTCCCCACCCCTCATCCCCCACTCTCCCCACCCCTCACCCCCCACTCTCCCCACCCCTCATCCCCCACTCTCCCCACCCCTCATCCCCCACTCTCCCCACCCCTCATCCCCCACTCTCCCCACCCCTCATCCCCCACTCTCCCCACCCCTCATCCCCCACTCTCCCCACCCCTCATCCTCGCCCATCTTATTCCCTACTTTACCCCGCTCATCATCCCTCACCGCCATGACGCCCCCCCCCCTACCCGACTCACCCCCTCATCCTCCACTTACCCCGTTCCTCAGCCTCCCCTACCCCCCCCCTTTACCCTGCCCTCACTCCCCACTCATCAGGCTTCCCTTAGAAACTCATCACCCTTCTCATCCTCCTTTGTTCAACCTTCATCCCCCACTCCCTTTCACTCTACCCCCCCCTCCCAGCAACCCCAATCAAACTCCGTGCACTCCTGAACCTGGCTAACAGTGACTCGTGGGAGCCAAGGATCTAACGCAGGCCCCCCTGTTGTGTGCACGAGTCTCGCCGTCGCAGCCCAAACATTGCCAGCCAGCATCATCAGCAACGACCCCTGGGGCGAGACGTACACCCGGCACCAGGGCTCGCTCAACCAAGAAACCTCGGGCTTGCTGGCTCTTGACGCTAGCATAGCCCGGTTTTGGTGGTGACAGTGACGTGGATAATCAAATTGCTGCTGTCTTGTTGTTGCCGCTGCTACGGCTGTTGTCATTGTGACTGTCTCCTCTCCTTTTCCCATTAACCTCCCACCACCCACGTCCCATGCCTCGCGCGCTGTCGACACAGACGTCGCCCGCGCCATTGAGCTCCTGGAGCGACTCCAGCGCAGCGGGGAGGTGCCCGCGCACAAGATCCTGGCCCTGCAGAAGGTGCTGCAGAGCGACTTCTGCACGGCCGTGCGAGAGGTGGGTTTCTAAAAACTCCAGTCCTCGTGGCCACCCTCCACGGTGGAGATTCCCCGTGGTCATCCGCCATCGTGCAGAACCTGCGGCGCGCCACGGTTGCGAGTTGTTAGGATTTTGAAAAGGAAACAAATGATTAGGCAAGGGATAATATTGGGCACTGGGTTTTGTTTAGGGTTGAGCATTTATGGATCTCGGTTCGGCATAAACAATATGCAAGGACAGGGATATGTTTTTTGCAAGTTGGTAAGAGTTAAGCAATAACAGAGCTAAGATAAGGGTTAGGTAAGACTTAGGATTGTGCCATGGTTATGGTAATGCAAAGTCAGGGTTAGAGTGAGGCAAGGGTAACATTCAGGGCTACAGTTAAGAGTTAGAGCATTAGAATTAAGGTTATGGTTGTCCGAAGGTTAAACTCAGGCTAACACCATGTTTGGTTTATGGTTGTACACCCTTAGGTGTGGTGTTGTGCGATAATCATATTGCTCCTCCATGTTTGTCTGCCGCAGGTTTATGAGTACATTTATGAGACCCTGGACATCACGGGCAACCAGGAGATGAGGGCTCTCGCCACCGCCAAGGTACATACACCCTCTCCACCTTAATCTGTCCGGGTGTCTTCTTCATTGGTTATGGAATGATGGAGGGATGTGCCCAGCTGATGCAGGGTTCTGCCTCGTCCTCTCCAGCCATCTACGAGCACCGTGCGTGGCAGCCTGTCCATAATATTCAGAACTTGGGGGATGGGATTAGTGGATCACGAAAAGATATCACCGTGTAGTGACTCTTCCAACACGCTGGGCCGCGAGAATTCCAGGAGATGGAAGTACAGCAATTTGGGATTCTAATGCCCCTGTGTGGATATTTGAGTGTTATCCCCCAGTATGTGTGGTTCCTCACGTGTAAAAAAACACGAATTCATATGAAATTGGCCAAGCACTCCAATTCAGGACCCTTCCTGAAAAGGAGTCTTAAGGCGATTTTAAGATTGGATAAAATATGTTTGTTATTACTCCCGACCACCAAGATCATCAGCATTATCCGATACTTCTGTGTTGTGAATTGAAGAATACAAATTGGCCGCTGTAAATGTAATTTAAAATGTTAAAACATTGATTTCAGAGGCGATCTTACCAGTTATTCTTTTCACGTTTATTTTTTACAACTTATTTTGTTGTTGCATATTTACATTTTGTTGTGTTTTAAATACTTAAGTTATGTCATCGTTTAGCCTGAATTCATGTAATTTAGTCCATCCATCAATCAAAATGTCCAACGTATCAACCCATTCATCCATTTTTCCCATTCCATCTGTCTGACCATCTATATTCCCTTCTATTTGTCCATTCATTGCCCACCCATCCAAACCACTGTACATCGACGTGTACATTGCCCATATGTTTATACATCTCTCCATCATTTCATAAGTGTCCATCAATCCATTTGTTCACATACCATCTTGCCATTTTACCATTTATCCTTCCATCTTTACATCCATCTGCCCATCGTTCCCCACAGCCCCTGCCTCCGTTTCATTCGTTCCCATGTCTCTGTGCCCTGCCTGTCGCTGCATCCGCTCTGCACAGGCGACGGTGGCGGCGTTTGCGGCGAGCGACGGCCACGCGCATCCCCGCGTGGTCGAGCTGCCCAAGACCGACGAGGGCCTGGGCTTCAACGTGATGGGCGGTAAGGAGCAGAACTCGCCCATCTACATCTCCCGCATCATCCCCGGTGGCGTGGCCGACCGGCAGGGCGGGCTCAAGCGCGGCGACCAGCTGCTGTCCGTCAACGGCGTGGTGAGCAATGCTGTCTCGTCCCGGCCAACCCACACACCTCACTCTTTCACTCACGTCCCTCGCCCGCTAAGGCAATGATACCCCGGATAGCGTTAGCAGACTGTCGGGGCAAGTGCTGCCACCCCGTCTTGCCCAACCACCCACATCCCTCACCGGCATCCTTTACCAGCATCCTTCACCAGCATCCCTCACCCGCTAAGGCAAAGATACCCCGGATAGCGTTAACAGACTGTCGGGGCAAGTGCTGCCACACCGTCTCGCCCAGCCACCCACATCCCTCACCCTCATCCCTCACCCGCATCCCTCACCCGCTAAGATAAAAAACACGCTGGATAACTTTTGATTTAAAGCTTTCGTGACTGCAGTAATTCATATTCTTAGCTCTTTCGGTAAAGTCACGTTGAAGGGAAACAATAAAATATATATAAAATTGTTTTATATATATTTTATTACTTTATTGTTTCCCTTCAACGTGACTCTACCGAAAGAGCTAAGAGCACGCTGGATAACCTTATCAGACTGCTGGGGCAAGTGTCTCTTCCGACGTCTGTAACGGCGCCTCGCGTGCGTCTCTCCCGGCATCTGTCACGGCGCCACAGAGTGTGGAGGGCGAGCACCACGAGCGCGCCGTGGAGCTGCTGAAGCAGGCGCAGGGCTCGGTGAAGCTGGTCGTGCGCTACACGCCCAAGGTGCTCGAGGAGATGGAGGCTCGCTTCGAGAAAATGCGCACGGCCAAGCGGCGCCAACAGAGCACGAGCTCCTAGCCGGGCACTGCCCAGCCCGCGGGCGAGCATACCACGCGCGCATGTGCATAAGTGGGTCCGAGTGAGTGAGTGCGTGCGTGTGCAATTGCGTGAAAGCTTGCGCGCACACGGGTGTGTGTGTGTGTGTATATGCGTGCGCGCGTGTGTGTGCACCATGCCCCTACAGTCTGTTAAGGCTTCATGGGGCTCTTTGTGTTTGTGCACCGCGAGTGGGTGTGAGTGCATTCGTATGTGTGCGTCGTCATATGTCCTTTCCGTCAGCTCATTGGCGATGATGGCGCTGCATGAATTTCTCTTTGCCTATACAATCCTGAACCAATCCCACTCTTTTCTCTTCTCGGTCTCTTGCTTCACCATCTCTCCTCTGCTCCCGTTTCCTTCCACTTGTGTGTGCGGAATCACTAAGTACGGGATCCTATCCCAGCTCATGCTTTGCAACGTACCCGAACCGCTGTGGTCTTCTCTCTTTCACTTCGTAGAGTGTAAAATTATTTTCAGCCGTTTTCTTATTTCTTCACTCTTCAGTCTCTGCAGTCTAGAAACTCCTGGAATCCTTCCCATCCTGTTCATCTCGGCTACTACGATCTTCAGTTTACTCATCATCCAACATTCTGCAACGTACAGTAGCAGTACTGCAACCACCATCCACTCGTACACCTTCACCTTGGCCCTGATATGTTTCAGATGTTGTTCAGTCCTCCAAAGGTCGTGGCTGTCAGACCGATCCTCCTCTTTATATCGTTATCACATCTTTCATCCTGCGATATTAGGCCTCCGAAGTATACAAATTCATGGCCTGTTCTAATTCCCTGCCCACAATCGATGCTTCTCAAATGGTCTTCTTTCCCATCACCATCACCTTTGCTTTGTCGGCATTGATTCTCAGTCCAAGCGATCCTCTCTTCTCTCTTCACCTTGTCTGTTATTTCTTGCAGATAGTTTTTTTTTATTCCGCCACAAAATTTATGTTATCTGAAAATGTTTACTGTAATTTACATTAACGTATGTGTGTGCACGTGGGTGGGTATGAGTGTGTATATATGAATGTGCGTACTTGTATAAGTACGTATATGAAAGCTTGTTTGTCTGCACACAAGTGAGTGTGAGTGCTCTCGTGTGTGTGTGTCCATGTACGTGCGTATCCAGGAGTGAGCGCGTGGGCACATGTATAAGTGCACGTGTATGTGTGTAGGTGTGTCTGAGTTTGTGTCCTTGAATGAGTTGGTGCTCATAAATACGTGTGTGAATGTACGTGTGTGTACACGTGGTATAATTGCGTGACTGCATATGTGCGCGTGTTGATGCACGTGCATGAACACTTGCACATGTGCACACACGTGCATGCCCATGCACACATTCAGTCACATGTACACACATACATGCATGTACCTGGTCATGCATGAGCACGGGCGCGCACATGAGTACACACGTACTTTCGTGCGCCCATGCGCACTTGTATGAATGTGTACGTGCGGGCAAATATGCGCGCGTGACCGACCTGCAGTTGGTGAGAATCCAATGCCATCAAATGTAAGCTTAGCTTTTCAAATACTGCTGAATCTGAACCCCGATCCGATTGGGGTCGGATTGGGGTCATCGTTGTTACTATCACGATGATTTGGGTGTACGGGGTCACGGGAGAGAAATCTCGCAGATAAGACTGGGGATTGTCCACAGCAGCACTCTCAACTCTCGAGTCCTTATGACCCCCCCCCCCCGCCACCACTACAGTCCATCTTTTTGTAATTACCAATCTTTTTACGCATATGCAAATTAACACCACTGCATCCACATGATGGGTTAGTAGTCATGGAAATCTGTACCGTAGGGCAGTGGTCACGAGGACTAGAGAATCGCTGGGCCTTGTTCAGTTGCGTCGAAATCACCCCGGAGGCTGCAGGGTCTCCACCTTTTAGGGACCACAGTTGATGGCGACTTTGCCTCGGTCCCTGAAAGTCGTGGGGTGGCAAAAGTTCGAACCTTTGGGAGATCCACGGTGGCGAGATGTTAACTACCTCGCCTGGTATCCGAGAGGTCGTGGGTTCGGTCCCGACCCTGATGCCTGCTGTATATCTGGAGTTTGCATGTCTCTCTCCCTGTGGTTTGCGTGGGATTTTCTCCAGTTTTTACCCCCACATTTAGAATCGACATGCGTGAAAAGTATTTGGCTGTTATAAATGTCGACACGATTAGACACTTTGTTCAGCCATCATTTGTGACCAGGTTACTTCTGAAAAAGAGCTATATAGCTCAGTGGGCCTTACCTTGTAAAATAAAAAAATGGTTTAGTTTATATCCACAGGCTTAGTAAGAAAACCTACATCCCGTGGCCCCACGCAAATAAAAGGATTTTGTGGAAAGACAGAAATACGACTTATGCCGTGTTTAACAAAGCAATTTCACATGAAGCAGAATTATCGATTAACTGCACTAATTTGGTGGGGCTGGAAGGATAACCCTGCTACCAAATAAGCAATATCTGTGGTTAATCGGACACTAATAGGAAAGTGTTTGGGGTTAATGATTACAGTTTTCTGGGGAGGGTGCTCGAGCAAATAGGGAAGGGGGATAGTCCTCGGTGACTGCGAAGAGTGCATGATATCAGTGTTCTGTATTCGAGAATTATTATTGTGAAATGATCTGACCACATGGCACAGTGGTTAGAGCATTCATTCACCTCGCAATGAGAAGGTTGCAGATTCAAATTCCACCTGGGGGGTCAACTTGACCCGTCGCAAACTTTCCGAGGCCGATACAGGTGAGTACCACTTTTGTAAGTAGTCACTCACCAGGCTATCGAGATACTGGCTCCCGTTCTATCACATGTGGAATTTCTGCTGGCTCAGGTTTGCCAACAGATAGAGGCACTGTTCCAATGCTCTATTGGCCAATGAAATGTATTTTACTTGAAGGTGGTAGAATCCTGGGACAACCAAGACCTCCCTACTCAAATTAGCAACCTTCTGTTCTCGTCTCATTTGGCAGGCCCAATCTAGCAGTGGAATTTCCACATTCCATTGGTGGGGGCCAGTCTATAACATAGGGAAACCACCAATACTGTACATGAATATCATTTATCCAGAAAATCCTCACTGAGTCTGAATACTCTTCAACAGGAGAGTTCAAGGATGTTTTAAATTACTATCTTGCATAATCGAATGACGTGGTAATAGCTGTCCCTTTGTAACCGCGATTACCCGCAATGCATCTCGGTTAAATACACGGTGGCAGACACCAGCAATCTCTTTACTTTTAATGTAAGGTTGGTGGATCGTGCACAGATCATCTTCTAGGTGAGACTCTCAACCTGCAGGACTACCAAATGGTGCCTGTAGAATGTCGGAGGCAGTATAGAAAATAGGTTGTGGAACCTATCTTCACAGGAGATTGTGAGTCTCTTCCTCTCATAGGTCTCTGTGCTCCTTTATAGGCACTCCGGTGTCCTCACACATGAAACAAAATTATTCTCAACAAGGAACTGGCCGTACAGCCCAAGCAGGTTACATGTATTGGAGCCTTCAGGCTCAGTGAGATTTAAATGGATACAAGACGTTTTAACTGACCAGTATTTCGCTATAAGTGAACGCGGCACATAGAAGGAATATCGTGGGAGGATAGAGGAAGTAACCTGGAAATGCGGTGGAAAAAATGTTGTGTAAATGAGCTTGTGATGGGTGGGACACGTGTGCAGGAAGGAAGAGGGCATGTTAACGCGACAGGCATTGGAGTGGCGCGCAGAGTTCGGTGACCCAAGCGCAAGACCTGGAGGCAGATGGTGGGAGACTGTGAGAGCAGACCCTAGGAGGTCGGGCAATGACTGCGTTAAGAGCTGCGGGCGGCAACGGCGAGGTGTGGTAGCATCTTCAGCATTGGGGCGTGATGGCCCCTTGCTCTCGCTGTACGAAAGCAATCGGTGTCTCGGCTTCTAAACGAATTGACCACTCCGCTGCCCACCATCCCAAAAGCCCCTGCTTACCGTAGGTGGGCAACGATAAACTAAACAGTGGGCCCACATTTCTCTCCAAACAGAATCCCAAATAACAATCGCACACACGCCTCAAAGTCTTCACACTCATTTTCAAGAGGGTCCTGCTTGGGATGTTTGGCCAATTCTTGAGTAAGTTTATTTTTTATTTTTATTAAAGCAACAGCTTAAGGGAATGGCCAGAATTAACACTTTGAAAAGATCTGTCTCAATCTGCTGTTCCGCAACCTACTTCCTCTACTACTCCACCACGTCAGTCACCGCCTGGTTCCCGTGGTTTTTGTTGCTGGAGCATGCGATTCAAGATGCCCATCCAGATGCGATCCACCAACCCAACCTCCCCTGTCGCTGGGTGAAAGTGCACACCACCACCACACATTCTACTGAAGTCTGCCAACACGTTGAGTGACGCGATATTGTGTTTTACAAAGCGAAAAGTACAAAGATAAACTCGTGCTTGGTCCATGCCATGTTCACTTTCCGTCGTCGCACACTCAAACCGCGGCCTGTGTTTGCCCTATGGGTGTTGGGGCAAGATGAATTAATACACCACCTCATGTTGGTCAAGAGTAAATATGCGCACCTTCCTAGCGCTCAACAAATTATCCCAATGTGAATACAAGGACTGATCGAACACTTGTGGGTCACGTTACCGAAGTGACCAATCGGAGGAAGATCGCTGCATGTTTTAACAAAGTGTCTACCTCGTCAAATTGTCTTTAGGCATTGTTATTCCACATTGACGACCCTGCATCAGTGGCGCAAAATCCACATTTTCACGGCATATTATTACTAGAACATGTGTCCCAACTAGTGCTGATAAGCCAGTCTGATTTACAATAATAAGGTTGTGAGTTCAAAGCTCCTTTAGGGGTCAGCCGTGCCTATCATCCTTTTGAAGTCGATACAATGAGCAAATCGCTTTGTGTAAAGTCAACAGCAGCGGTCGTCTTCTCGAGAGACTGGCCCCGAACGGCAATGTGAAATTTCCACCACTCGCTCGGGACTGCCAATGGGAGTGCTTCGAGCAGGAAGACACGTTGGGCCCAGTCCACGTGTTGGTAACGAGTATTCGCTCTCATCCAACTGTGAACAAAACCATCCCATTGTCCCCGTTACCACCAGAGCGGAGAATCACTGAAGCGGCGTGTTCAGTGTCAACATTGGAATCTGGCCCTTGGTCGTTTTTTTAACTTCACCCGTACAGCAAACAAGAAGTGCTTTTTCTGTTTATGTAGTTTGTTATCCTTCCCGCGCACCTCCGATGAGCACGGATGGCTACGTACGGTGCGAAGGAAGTTCAACATACAGCCAGCATAGAGTTAATTATACACAGTGCTGTGCGAGTCAATGTTAACGTGCTGGTGCGTATTTGTTAAACCAGGAAACCCTCACTTGTTCTCAAGACCCTTTTTAAACGAAAATCCTATTTGTCCTGCATTGGGATATTTGGCCATTTCTCTACCCAAAATGCAGCTTGGCAAGAAAGACTTTTTTTAGTTTTTGTTTTAAACAATCTAGAGTTGCATACGAAGGTGTTAATTCAGCAACCGGTGAGGTCACGAGACGTCCTCGCGTGGCTCGAGAGACATTTCCACCGGGGCGTGTCACAAGCCGACGGAGAAATCGAGCAATTTTGAAGTCACCCACACGTCGTTCTGACCCCAGTCGCCTCAACATGTAGCCCGGCTTGAAGCATTAACAGTGTTCCGTAGTTTACCACTTAGCAGGTTATATATTTTTTGTTAATTTTATGTTTTATCTTTGTGTTTACTGTGTCGGGGTAATACTGCCTTGCTTGAAGATGTGATGTGATTTGGTGAGGTGCTGCAGTCTCGGCTGTACGATGTTACATACTTTTTTTTTAATACCTCATTGGCGTGTTGCAGATGATTAATTTATCTCTTTCCGACCATATTTAAGAGGCGTTAGAGACTTTATTGGATGTTTTCAGTAATAAATGTTAGTTCGTGTTCACCCTTTAATCGCCACTGCTTCACCTTTCATTGCATGTTTAGTGTTGTGGATTCAGGAGACGTCGGAGATGGTTCTTGGAGGCAACACTATTTATTAAAACACCTCGCTCGGCAGTACAGTCCCAGAATACTCAGGGTTACTGTCCTCCTACACCTACTGCCTGGAGAGGGTACTGCCTCCGGGCTAACGTGCCCTAACACAGGGCTACACTCAGGGCCCTCCTACACCACTGTCTAGGGAGGGTACTGCCTCTGGGCTAACGTGCCCTAACACAGGGCTACACTCAGGGTACTCCTACACCACTCTCTAGGGAGGTACTGCCTCCGGACTAACGTGCCCTAACACAGGGCTACACTCAGGGCCCTCCTACACCACTGTCTAGGGAGGGTACTGCCTCTGGGCTAACGTGCCCTAACAGGGCTACACTCAGGGTACTCCTACACCACTCTCTAGGGAGGTACTGCCTCCGGACTAACGTGTTTTAACACAGGGCTACACTCAGGGCCCTCCTACACCACTGTCTAGGGAGGGTACTGCCTCTGGGCTAACGTGCCCTAACACAGGGCTACACTCAGGGCCCTCCTACACCACTGTCTAGGGAGGGTACTGCCTCTGGGCTAACGTGCCCTAACACAGGACTGCACTCAGGGTCCTCCGGCTATGGGTGCCTAGGGGGAGGCTATTCTAACTCGCCCTAGCCAGGGTGCGAGTTCCCACCACTGACCCACTGGACCCGGCCCCTACAAGGACGTCGGGGCCAGGGGTTCCCAGGGTCTCACCGCTGAGCCGCACAGAGTCCCGGCCCTGATAAGGACAGCGGGGCTAGGGGTCTCAGGGTCCTATCGAGCTGCTGGTCTTCGGCTTCTGTCTTCAACTGGTCCCCAGCCTGTAGAGAGGTCCGCCTTTTATCCACCTCCCAACCGAGGGGCGGGAGATCCTAGAACACCCCGCAGCCCCCACCCGCTGGGAGGGGTCCCGGGGGATCCCAGGACACCCCACAGCCCCCTCCCCCCGGGAAGGGCCTCAGGGGATCCCAGGACACCCCACAGCCCATTCACGCCCCTACTCATGTACTGCAACCCAGTAGCAACAATGTTACACAGCCACCTTGACTATTAGAATTTAACATTTGTGCTGGGTTGTCAACAGTGGCTGGGAGTGATCAGCCCCCTCCAGCCCCCCCCCCCCCCCAACGCAACTGAATTGATGTTCAGTAGCACAAGGCAACGGCGGCATTCCAGGCTCAATGGTAATTCCAAAGACACGTTAGCCGAAAATGCCAAGATTTGAGCTTCAGGACCTGAGGCTGGGTGCCCATCTCTCAGCACACGGGGGGTATTACGAAGGACAATGGTAGCGCCAAGCCAGCACCACTGTGAACCAGCGTGTGTCTCTCAAGAGGTGCGTAATGGCCTGTCCCAAGACCCGAAGCCAGTGTTCTTGACTCATTTTCAGAGGGTGGCCCACTTTCGCCGATAAGACATTGTCAGTGTGAGAGCCGCCACACATTTAAAGCCATTGGGGTTTGACAGCACGATAGGGGGGTGCTTTCATAAGTTGTGTGTGGTCAGGGGCCGCCGGTGACCCGTGGGCCTTGCGATAAAGACCCCTGCCCGAAGCCAACACCACTGAAACATTGGTTGCAATCCAGGATTCAGCCGTACACCACCAACACCTGTGTCTTCCGACAGAATCTTGATTTGAAGTTTTCGTGACTGCAGGAATCCATACTCCTTGGTTATTTCGGTAAAGTCGCGTAGGTAGAAAAATAAAATGAAAATACTATATCACGACGTTTCGATCGAAACACAAGCGATCGTCCTCAGGCGGAAGAAATAATCCACCAGTGGAACTGCTGAACCAGGAAGAACACAGCTGCGTTCTTCCAATGAAGGCCCCGTCGTGACCATGTCATTACAACCCAAGTCACGGCGCCGCGGTGCGAGTTAGCCTCGGGGGAGGTCGCCCAATTCCCTGGTCGCAGGAAACCGTGAAGTTTGGTCCCGTGAGAGGGCTTCTGGATGAAAACCTGTCGGCCACGTGACCTCCCCTCGGGGCTCTATGTGGGGGTGTGTGTGTGTTCATGTGGGGGCTCTATGTGGAGGTGTTGTGTGTGTTCATGTGGGGGCTCTATGTGGAGGTGTTGTGTGTGTTCATGTGGGGGCTCTATGTGGGTGTGTGTGTGTGTTCATGTGGGGGGGGGTGTTCATGTGGGGGCTCTATGTGGGTGTGTGTGTGTGTTCATGTGGGGGCTCTATGTGTGTGTGTGTTCATGTGGGGGCTCTATGTGGGGGTGTGTGTGTGTTCATGTGGGGGCTCTATGTGGGTGTGTGTGTTCATGTGGGGGCTCTATGTGGGGTGTGTGTGTTCATGTGGGGGCTCTATGTGGAGGTGTGTGTGTGTTCATGTGGGGGCTCTATGTGGGGTGTGTGTGTGTTCATGTGGGGGCTCTATGTGTGTGTGTGTTCATGTGGGGGCTCTATGTGTGTGTGTGTGTGTTCATGTGGGGGCTCTATGTGTGTGTGTGTTCATGTGGGGGCTCTATGTGGGGGTGTGTGTGTGTTCATGTGGGGGCTCTATGTGTGTGTGTTCATGTGGGGGCTCTATGTGTGTGTGTGTGTTCATGTGGGGGCTCTATGTGTGTGTGTGTGTTCATGTGGGGGCTCTATGTGGGTGTGTTCATGTGGGGGGTGGTGAGGGAAGAGCAGCGTCAGCAGCGTCGGCCCCGTCGCTCGGAGGTGGCGGCGTCGCGGCCACGGAGTCGGCCGGACGGCCTCGCTGCTGCTGCGGCAGGCACGGCGCCGACGGAGCGGCTTCGCTGCTGTGGCACCACACAGACACACACGGGCACACAGACACACACACACACGGGTGCACACAGACACACACACACACGGGTGCACACAGACACACACGGGTGCACACAGACACACACACACGGGCACCCACAGACACACGGGCGCACAGACACACACACACGGGTGCACACAGACACAGACGGGCGCACACAGACACACACACACACGGGCACCACACAGACACACACGGGCGAGGTGGCGGGACACGAGGAAGCAGAAAGGTCACCACCGCCCGCACTGTCGATATCGATTGCGGACGGCACGGCGGTAATTGTGTCCCCGAAGGCGGCGCCTCGTTACGAGCCCCGTGCGTGGAGGGGGGGGGGGGGGGGGGGGGGTCGCGGGGGGGCTCGGGGGTCCTCGAGTGGGGGGGGGGGAGCGAGGAGCGACACGAGGGTAGGGGAGTGTCAGGGAAGAGTTGAATGATGGAGGTGTGGGGTGATATATAGAGGGTGAGAGTGATGGGGTGGTGTGGGTGGAGTGATGGGGGTGGTGTGGGTGGAGTGATGGGGGTGATGTGGGAGGAGTGATGGGGGTGATGTGGGAGGAGTGATGGGGGTGTGAGTGACACACAGGATGTGAATGATGGGGTGGTGTGGGTGGAGTGATGGGGGTGGTGTGGGTAGAGTGATGGGGGTGTGAGTGACACACAGGATGTGAATGATGGGGTGGTGTGGGTGGAGTGATGGGGGTGGTGTGGGTGAGAGAACGGACTGTGTGAGTGATGGGGAAGTGTGGGTGGAGTGATGGGTTTGGTGTGGGTGAGAGAACGAGCTGTGTGAGTAATAGAGGTGTTGTGGTTGACAGATGAGAGGTGTGGCCACGTGGTGGAGGAAGCGTGTAGTAGCCCAGTGTCCTTCATTGCAAGGCCCGCGGGCCATTGGCGGCCCCCCATCGTGCCGCTGTCAAACCCCCAACGGTTTCAAATGCGTGGCGGCCCTCACTCTGAAGTCGTCTCGGCGAAAGTGGACCCCCCCCCCCCCCTCCCCCTACCAACACCCGTCTGAAAACGAGCGAAGAACGCTTTTGGAAGCAATACGGGTGAGGGTGAGCGTAGAAAAAGCGGGTAAGTGAGGGAGCTCGAGTGAGAGAGCTGTGGGTGGGAGAGAGGGGTGAGAAAGTCGTGGGGTGTGGGTTGAGTGTTGAGGTGTGGGTTGAGTGATTGGGGGATGGGGGTCCGTACTCTTTGGTTCTATTCGGTAAAGTCACGTAGTAGGTAAAAAATGAAACAACAAAAAACACGACGTTTCGGCCACAACACAAGCGGCCTTCATCAGGTGTGTTGTGGCCGAAACGTCGTGATTTTTGTTGTTTTATTTTTTACCTACTACGTGACTTTACCGAATAGAACCAAAGAGTATGGATCCTTGCAGTCACGAAAGCTTCAAATCTAGAATTGGTGGGGGTCCGTGTCTTCCTCTGCGTATGCGTGCGTAAGTGCACGCGTTACATTTTTGGGAGCGGTGGCGCAACGGTTAGCGCACTGCGCTTCGAACCCGGCGAACAGAGTTCGATTCCAGCTCACGACCTGAACCAGATATATGGGCTTCCCCTTGGTCGACCCAGCCTTAAATGAGTACCTGTTGCGCTTTGTGTAAACATCAGCACTGGGGAGACAAAGACGGCCGGGCGTGGTGCGGACCACCCGTCTCCTCGTGTACCGTGCCGCACCTCCGATTAGCACGGTTGGCTACGTGCGGTGCGAAAGAAGTTCAACATACACGCATACAAACTGCCCATAGACTAACACTGCCCATAGACCAACACTGCACATAGACTAACACTGCCCATAGACTAACACTGCCCATAGACTAACACTGCCCATAGACGAACACTGCACATAGACTAACACTGCCCATAGACTAACACTGCCCATAGACTAACACTGCCCATAGACGAACACTGCCCATAGACTAACACTGCCCATAGACGAACACTGCCAATAGACTAACACTGCCCATAGACTAACACTGCCCATAGACTAACACTACCCATAGACTAACACTGCCCATAGACTAACACTGCCCATAGACTAACACTGCCCATAGACTAACACTGCCCATAGGCTAACACTGCCCATAGACTAACACTGCCAATAGACTAACACTGCCCATAGACTAACACTGCCCATAGACTAACACTGCCAATAG